GCCTCTAAGGCTGGGAGCCAAGAAGAGGGCACAGTCCCACAGTCCCCTGCAGAGGCACCTCCCAGGGACCCCAGACCCCCCTAAGCCAACCCTCGGGTTCCACCCCTCCCACCAGCACTACCCTGGGACCAACCTGTGCACACGTGGCCTTTGGGGGATGTTTGTGACACAAACAGCCTTTGCACTCTCAACCCATAGGGCCACACTTTTCCCTGGTGAACTGCATGGACTGAGAGCTCCATACCCAGGTACCAACACAGGCCTGCCCCATGCTCTCGGCCGCCCTGGAGCCCGGCTCTCCCCGGAGTACATGTCTGTCTCCACTCAAGCTGGCTGGGCTTCCTGTAGCGGGGGAGACGTCCATGTGCGGATGGGGACAGTTGAGCAGCATCCCCTCTCAGGCTCTGCCAACCTCCTCCTTCCCAGCTTTCTGGGAATGCTTATGCTTCCCTGGAGCAGGTGTGACCGGTGCTCAGATGAGCAGGAGGAGCCCAGCGATCCTCAGGCGGCATCTGTGATGTGGTAGAGGGTGAGAGAAGGAGGTAAGGCCTGCCATGTAGGTGTTTCACACCTTTGTCCCTAAGATGTCAGACGGAGACTGAAATAAGAACTGCCCCTGGGAGGGACAGCTCTGACCTGCAGCAGGTCACCCAGAGCCTGGGGCCAGGCCACGTGGGTGTGGATGGCCCACCACACTGGGCCCACGCAGCCAGCTTCAGACACAGGCACTGGGCGCCGTGGGCTATCTGCAGGCCCTGGCCGACTGACTCCTGATACACCCATTATGCCCGTAATTGCGGAGCCACTAGCAAATTGCTAATTACAATCAACCAAGTCTTTGGTTTAAGCAGCTAATCACAATGCAGACTGACACTTGAGAGGTGGCCACAGGTACGTGGGGAGTGCTGGTGAGGGCGAAAGCAGCGGACCGGCATTGAGCCTCCTGTCCACCAGACAGCCCAGTTTCTGTGTGAGGAGGAGCTGAGGCCCAGAGCCATGTCCCTGTGGAAGCCTTTCCCTGTGACCACAGCAAGTCCTGACTGCAGGAGAACCGGTAGAAAGTGAAGTCCAGCCCCAATCCCAGCTCTGGGGAAGATGCTCAGGCCCCAGAGAAGGCACAGGGTCAGCAGGAGAGATAAGCTGGACAGAGCTGTCCAGGTCAGGAAGCCGCACGGTGTACAGAAACAGCTCAGCACAGCAGGGGCGGCCAGGAACCCAGGAGAGGGGAAGCGGAGGGAGAGAAGCCCGGACACTTCCCCGAGCTCCGTGCAGGAGAAAGAGCCTGGACAGTGCAAAGGGGATCTTGGCGGCAGGAGCAGTCCAGCGGCATTAGACTAAGAAGAGGTCGAAGCTGCGGGACCACCAAGAGCCCACACGCTGGCAGGGCAGAAGGCTTGAGAGAATCCAGGTGAAGGCAGAGGAGGAAAAGTGGCCAGAGGAAAACCGTGCAGGCCAGGAAGCCCCCAGTGCCCCCTGGGCTGTGCAGAGACCTGCAGACACCCTGCGGAGAGACTCCATCCACAGCCCCTGGCCAGCACTACAGAAGTGCCCGTGGGCGGGGCTAGCTCCCAGAGAACCGTCAGTGGGCGGGGCCAGCGGCCCAGGAAGCATCTGTGGGCGGGGCCAGCAACAGGGAAGCCCTGTGGGGGGCTCAGGAAGCCTCAGGAAGTTTCCTGGAGATGGAGAACCTAAGACAGAGCCTGCAGTGCTCGGATCTCATGACCAACACGTTCTTGAGGATGAGAAATCACTTGTGACCACAGACAGGGAGAGCAAACGGAGGAAGAGCCTGTGCTGAAGTGTGGAGCCGGCTTGCCCGGCCCTCCCCGGGGCTGACACCAGGGCCTCACCTCCAGCCACTTGGCCACTCCAGTCCAGGGGGTGCCCAGAAGGCCATCAGGCCAAGCCATGGTCAGGACCAGGTGCCCTGCGAACATGAAGGAGAGTCGGGATTTCACTGCCCAGGAACAGAGAGCCCAGATGAAAGGCACCTGCTGCAGGGAACGCACTGGGAGTGCACTCAGGACCCCAGCTCCCCTGCAGAAGGCCGTGGACAGGTCGTCCCTGCTGACGTCAAGATGGCAAAAGGCTGGAGACAGCCAGAGCCCGTGGACGCTGTCTGTTGTCACATGTCCTCCTCAGTGAGAGCTCGCTGCCTTCTGAGGTGTCAGACTTGTGAGCACGAGTGTGGGGTTTGAGGCCAGCCCGGCCGCATCCACCCGTGCTCAGGGTCAGTCGGATGGCACAGCCTGAGCTGCCCATGGGAACGTGAGAAGGGTCAGCTGCTGGTGTCTAGCGCACTTGGACTCCAGGGCAGCCGTGCTGTGTGTTAGAGCAGCCTGGCTGGGCGCTGTCTCTGCCCTGTGGCTGCTGGGCTGAACCTCACAGAGGCAGCCTCAGCAGTCTCTGTGTGGGGAAAGGCTGGAGTACAAGACTGAAGGTCTGAGTGGACCAGGTCTGAGGGCAGCCCCAGCTGGGGCGAGGGGAACGAGGTCTCCCAGGTCCCTCTGCAGTCTAACCAGTGGCCGCCAGGCTGCCTCACCAGGTCACAGAAGGGCACTACACCATTCCCCAGGCCAGGCGGCCCTGGACACAGGTGGGTGGGTGTGCAGCTGTGGTAAACAAGATCCCACCCCAGGCCTCGAGGAGAGGCAGGAGAGGCACAGGGTGGGGACCACACCCCCCCAGGAAGCTCTGTGCTTGGGACTCTGGGGACCTAGCTGGGAGGCACATCTCTTCCCTCCTGGAGAAGGGAGTGGTCCCACACTAGCACTGGGGAGCAGTGGTCAGCCAGGGCAGCAGCTGGGCCGCTCACAGGAGGGTGGCTCTGGGCAGGGACCCTGGTCTTTCTGAGCACCCTTCAGGACACCAAGCCCAGTGGCTGGGGAAGATCAGAGAGCAGGGCCCTTGGCTTATCTCTAGACATGCATCCGGGTGTTCAGAGGCTGGGTGCGTGGCTCCGGGTCCAGGGTCCACCACGGTGGACTCATCAGCATGACTCCCGACGGCCTCAGAGCCCTGGGAAGGCAGCTTCCTGGCTGGCCAGGACCTGCTGAGCCTGGAGCCTGCAGAGGAGCTCTTGGGCTGCCTGGACCTGGGGCTTCAGAGCCCACTGAAAGAACCTGGCCTCCCCTGTGGTGCCCGAAAGGGCCTCCCAAAGTCCCGCCAGCCCAGGTCCCCCAGCTGCAGCAGAGCAGAGGAAGGCAGCCGCAGGGAGAGGGGTGCTCGTGGCCTGCCGCAAGCCTGACCTCCTATGTCCAGGTCAGGGGAAGGCCCTGCAGAGGACTGGAGGCTCTCTGGGCATCTGCTTGGGGCTACCTGTAAGGCCAACCCCTCTGAATGCTTTCCTGTGTGAGGCCCTGGAGCCTCAAGAGCCAAACCCAGGCAGGGCCCTGAGGATTCCAGGGAACCAGCCCTCCTGGTTTCCTGGCAGCAGCCTCCCCTGTTCCGGGCGTTCACCTTCTGTGATGTGCTCCTCACGTATGTCTAGCTGGTTTGGCAATCAGCTGGGAGGTGGTGAGGCCTCCAGCATCACTGGCGCTCCACAGGGCAGCCCTCCCAGCTGACCCCAGCTGACCCCTTGAAGGCCCTCAGGGGGGAAAGCAGAACCTTGGCTGAATGCAAGACGTGGCCAGGTGGGGGCGCTGCCTGCAGGGCCCGTGGGGGCTGGGTCCACACAGGTCCTGAAGGCTCCAACCAGCACTTCCTCTGCTGAGCGTCCCCACCCCCTGGAGCTGGTGCTTTGAAGTCCAGAGTGGGGACCACAGGCCTGAGGCTCAGGGAGTGGCCAGCAGAGCCCAGCTCCTGGTGAAGGCTAGGAGGTCCCAGGGCAGGGCGGCAGGAAGGGCACCACGCCCCCAGGAGTGGGCCCATGATTACACATGGAGAACAGTCCAGGGAGCCAGCCAAGGCCACCCGCTAGGCAGGGTGGGTCCTCTCCAGCCTGAAAACTGCCACACACTCCGGCTTTGCAGCAGCTTCCCCTGAGACAGGGCGCTGAGGGTCCCTCTGCTGCTGCACACTGTCAGTGCCAGCTGGGGTCTGCGGGGCTTGGTGGCAACCTTCCTCTGAATATCCAAGAAGTCATTTCAGACAAGAGACCCTCTGTACAGGGAAGGAGTCTGCCGTGCTACTCACAGCTCATGCCAGCAGGGCCACCCCCAACGTTGGCCTTCCAGCCGCTGAAGTGTCGCTTCTGTCCTGAGCCCAAATGGACTGAGGAGCCTGGCCACATGGCCTGTGCTGACACAGGCGGGGCCAAGAGCCCTCCAGGGTCCAAGCAGGGTTGGCCAGCCGAGTGGCCAGGGTGGGGACCACTGTGGCTCCTGTGAGCTCTAGTGCCTGTCCCTGGGGACACTGCTCCTGGAGGTGGTGACTCAGGGGAGGGGTCAAGCAGAGCCAGGGAGAACACCCAGAGTCCACAAGGTGACTAACATGGAGCAGGCTCTGGACCTCAGGATCAGTCTGGTCAGGCGGTCTCAGGAGCAGAGTGGATGTGGCTGCCCAGAGGACAGAAATCAGTCCCACTGGGGGATGGGCAGGTCAGGGGTTGTGGGATGGACCAAGCAGCCCCTGGCCTCTCAGTCACCGCGTGGCCTCCTCCTGCCCAGACTGTCACGGGGTCTCTGCCAGTTTGCCTACCCACCCCCTTCCCCACCTGAATGCAAACCCCTGGAGAGGGCACTGGCTGTGTGGCTGAGGCCCAAGCAGCCCTGTCCTGACTCTGTCTGGTGCCAGTCTCTGGTAGGTACAGCCAGCTCCAGAAGGGACCTGTCTGCTTGCACATGACTCCCACCCACCACCAAGTGTGGACAGCCAGAGGGCAGGAGGGCTCTGTAGATGGCCCTGGGACCTGGGATGAGGACTGGGAGGACCCTTGCTGGGGGGCCCACCCCAACACCCTCCCCTCCTGCCCACCCATCCCCACCCTTTGTCCTCTCGCAGTGGCCCTGTCCCACGAGTCTGCACATTGTCCCCCTGACCCTCTGTCCTCCTCGCAGTGTTCCACCTGTCGCACAAGGTCACCAGTGTCGTCCCTGAGAGTGCTCTGCTCATTGTGCTGGGCCTGGTGCTGGGCGGCATCGTCTGGGCAGCGGACCACATTGCCTCCTTCACGCTCACACCCACGGTCTTCTTCTTCTACCTGCTGCCCCCCATCGTGCTGGACGCTGGCTACTTCATGCCCAACCGGCTCTTCTTTGGCAACCTGGGCACCATCCTGCTGTACGCCGTCATCGGCACTGTGTGGAACGCAGCCACCACCGGCCTGTCGCTCTATGGGGTCTTCCTCAGTGGCCTGATGGGTGAGTCCTGTGCTGCCCACAGGGTGGGAGGTCAGGGTGCGGAACACAGCCCAGGGGTGGAGTGGGGGCATAGAGGGATGTCGCTGGTGAGCTGCTTAAAGACCTGAGTGCAGAGTCCCACGGCAACACCTGGCCGAGGCCCGTGCCCTGCTCGGGAGAGGACCCTTTCTGACCAGGGTGGCGTGTGGGTAGGATCTGGCAATGGCTGTCCTTCTGGGCTGGGAGGAAGGTCCCAGGGAGAAGAGCAGGCAGCATCCAGGTCTCACCGACTGGACCACAGGCCGAGCTCAGCACATCTCACTGGCCTCCGCCTGTGATGCCCTGTCTCTGATCCACATTCCGCCTGCTCCTGTTCCTGCACGGAGCGGTCCTTCACTCAGCCTTGGTCACCCAGAGGCCAAGTGGGCCAGCATTCCCAGGGACGGGTCCAGGATTGGTGACCTTCCCTCTGGCTCAAGGGAGAGGACTGGCCAGCACTCACCACATGAATTGAGGCCTTAAAACCCTAGTGACCGAGAGAAGTGTGGTGACAAGGACAGCAGTCCCTCCCATGTGCCTGCTCCCTCAGCACTGGGCCACCACCACAGAGCACTGCCTTGAGCCTGCCAACCAGTGTCACCCAGAGAGCACCAGGGTGAGCCCTGCAGGCCCTCAGGCGAGTAGACACCTGCTCCAGGAAGGTGTCACCATAGGTGGGCGGGACATACCTCAGATGACCAGCCGACTCCGACCACTGGATGCAGGGATGACTCAGGGTCTGGAGGGGACCCTTGGACCTATTGCCCACGGCACCAGGAGGGTCACACTCACCCTCCCTGATAGCCCTGTGACCCACGAGGTCAGGGCATGGGACGCCCCAGGGTGGTTTCTGCAGGAAGAAGCCTCCAACAGACCCGGTGGGTCACAACGGCTCCTCTGCAGCGGGCACCCTCTGTGGCTCCCTGACCCCTGGCCTCACACAGCTGTCAGGCTTCCCTTGCCCACCTTGGTCAGGCACAGCACCTGGCTTTCTTCTAGGAAGCAAGGTTCTTACGACCGGCACAGGCCTCGCAGCCAACTGGCTGAACCGTGCACATGCGCTGGCCCCTGAGCCATGTGGCCGTCAAACTCAGAACATTCCTGCTGCCAGGGACGTCCGGGTCTATCTTGCTGTGACCATGTAGGACTGTGCTGTCACCATGTCCCTTCTTCACAGTAGACACAGATGCTGACAGTCTGCACTTAGTCCCTGGGTCCCAGCAGGGAATCCAGGTGTGATAGAGCTAGGCAGGCAGTGACCAGTCTCTGTAGACCAGTGACCAAGGCCAGGTGCACCCATTACAGAAGGGTCAGCTAGACTGGCTGCAGAGGCCCTGCAGGTGGGCCCAGTGGCCATTCTTCTTACCTAAGGTGGAGAGAGGGCCTTGAGCAGGCAGCCTGGTGGAGTGACCCCTCAGTTCCAGACACTCCTGGCAGGTGTCCCTTCCCGGCCAGCTTGGGTGGCCTGTTCAGCTGGCTGCACTTCCTGCTGGGAGCCGGCCAGTTTCCAGAGTGTACCACTGCAAGGTCTGACAGGGTCCTGGGGCCAGAGGCTGGTGGTGCCAGAGGCATCTGACGGGCCTGGAAGGGGGCCTGGTCTGCCAGGCCAGGCAGGGCCACCGATGGCAGCGAAGTCTGTGCTGACCTTCCAGATGGACTGCAGGGAGCGTGACCTGGCTGGAGGCTGCCGGGCTCACAGGAGCCTAGACGTCCAGTCATGGCCATGTCCCATCCCCACTCAGCTCCCTGCCATGGACCCCCCTGTGCTGCCCTGGCAATGACCTGCAAGCTGTGCCTGGCCCCGTGGACCCGTGGCAGGGTCTGCCCTCAGCCCGGCAAGAAGAAGGAAGCCCCTGTGGGACTCCGCTGGCCTTGTACACCCAGGGCATCGCGCGTGGGCTCTGCCCTCAGGCCTTCTTTGACCTGCAGGCTCTGGACCCTTCCCCGTGGCCCACTTGTCTTGCAGGCGAGCTGCAGATTGGGCTCCTGGACTTCCTGCTGTTTGGCAGCCTGATCGCAGCTGTGGACCCGGTGGCCGTCCTGGCCGTGTTTGAGGAAGTGCACGTCAACGAGGTCCTGTTCATCATCGTGTTCGGGGAGTCTCTGCTGAATGACGCCGTCACTGTGGTGAGGCCTGGCAGGGTCCTCAGGGCCCGTCACAGGGCCCGGTCCTGAGAGGCACAGGGAGACCCACCCAGGGGGCATTGCCACTGTCCTTGGGCCAATGAGAAGCTCTGCTGCCCGCAGCCAACCATCCAGCAAGACAGTAGCCTGGGAGCCCACGCCTGTATGGGATGCTTGGTGTCCATGGGGGCAGCTGCTGAGCCTGGCAGGCCCTGCCTCTCACGTAGTGCCCCTTCTCTGCCCCTTCCTGACTCCCTCTGTCCCATTTCTCACCCTTCCTTCCCCAGTTGTGGACCCGCCCATGTTGTGCCTTCAAGGTCAGGGCTGCCAGGGCTGCCAGCCCACAGCCGCCAGGTCCCAGAACAGCCTTCTTCTTCAACTGTGGGCTACCCATGGCGCCACCCATTCCTAGCTTCCTAAAATACAGGGGGACAAATGAGCAGACTCTCATAAGACTGGTACCACTCTGCCGGGCCACAGCTGGCTGGTCCGGGAGCCTCCTGGAGGCTGGAGGCTGGAGGCAGAGGTTGGGGCAGACTGGCTCCTCCTGAGGCTGCCCACTGGTGTGTCGACGGCCTCTTCTCATGAGGACCCCAGTCAGCAAAGCAGGCCTGTCCTAAGGACTCCATTTCACCCGAGCCCTCTTCAGAGGCCCCGTCTCCAAACCCAGGCATGGTCTGAGGTCCAGGCCAGGACCGTGGGCGCTCCTGGGGACACTCCCAGCCCCTCGTAGGAGTCACGAAGCAGACTCAGTCTGCACTGGCTGCGCTGCCCCGTGGACGCGTGTTCGGGGGCCCTGGGCTGTGGGCAGTGGCGGGCACTGTGGGCCCTGCACGCTGAGCAGCAGGCCTGTGCGTGGGGAGCTTCACAGCCGCCTGGGGAGGGGGGGCTCCACCTCCAGACGGGCCACTCTTTGGGAGGGGTCAGGGCAAGTTGGGACGTGGATGCAGCCTCCTCCCTGGACTTTGCAGAGACAGGACAAGAAGTTTGAAGATGTGACCTGTCACTGGCCTCCAGAAGGGGCCGGGACCCTGGGACATCCTCACCTTGTGCCCAGAGGCCTCTCCCAGGGCAGCTGAGGGCCTTTGAGGCCAGTCAGGAGTTCAGCGCATAACTCCTGTGCCCCTGGGCCGCCTGTGGCTCCCGTGTCTCTGCAGGGACCCTCCCTGGGAGCCCAGGGCCCTCATTGCCCACACAGCCCGCCAGCTGTCACCTGCACTTCCATGAAGGGCACAGCCCTGTGAGGCCATGCTGGGGACTCAGTGGCCACTGAGGAATTGACCCTCAGACCACACGCCTGCCCTTGGGGTCCCCAGCACATACCTCAGAGCAGGTCAGGGCAGAGACAGCACCTGTGCCCCTCAGTTGGGGCTGTGGGCCTTGAGGGAACAGGGACTTGGACATGGCCATTAACCAGCACCAGCACAGGATGGGTTAGAGTCACATGTGGACATGCCGAGGTCACAGGGCGCAACCCCGCAGCCCAGTCACACAGCACAAAGCCACCGGACAGGGCACTTGGTTGTCTGGGCAGAGGAAGTGGGGGGTTAAGTCCTGAGGTCAGCTTCGGCTGCCCCATCTGGCCAAGGATAGGAAGAGGCCAACTTTGCTCCTGAAGCTCTGGCTCCTTCCAGAACATTCTCTTGCCCACACATCCCTCCTACTAGTGCATCGTGGGCCCCTTCTTGTCACTGCCATTCCCTGTGCTGGCCTTTAGTTGCTGTGGAGTCCACACCCGGCCCAACACCAGCGAGTCCCAGGCACTGAGATGGGAGCGGTCAGTGCTGACCACAGGCTGACCAGATGTGTGGCTGTCTTCTGCCCTTTCAGGTCCTGTACAATGTCTTCGAGTCTTTTGTGACCTTGGGTGGTGACAACGTGACCGGTGTGGACTGTGTAAAAGGCATAGGTACGTGGCAGGGGGGCCCCAGTGCCCCCCCAGGCCCTGGCAGGAGTGCAGGCCACAGGCCTACAGATCTCAGCTGCCTTTGGCCCCTGCAGCTCTGGAACCCTGTAGCCCTGAGGGAAAGGTGTCTGCACTGTCACGGGGCCCAGCCTGTGCACACAGCCCTCCCAGACACCCCAGAAGCACGACTTGACAGAGGTCCTGGTGGCTTGCTGGGCAGGAAGAATGGCCACTTTGGGCCTCCCTAGGAAGGAAAGGATGTGGCCTCCAAGGACAGGGCCTGGTCCTCAGGGTGTTCTGTCTAGGTGATGCCCCCACAGTGGGGCATTGTGGCTATGGCACCGTCCTCTGTCCCTTTCCTCCTGAGGCTGGTGCTGAAACCTGACTCTCTCCAAGAGACATCAGGGACCTGCTCTTGCTTCCTGAGCTCTTGGTGCCCCCGTAGGCGGAATTACCAGGCAACCCTCCCTGAGGAGTGGCCAGGAAGGCCAGCCCCAGCAGCCTCGCCCACGAAGCTGGCCACAAAGGGCCATTCAGGCAGCCTCAGCCCTGGTCCTCGTCCTCACAGTGTCCTTCTTCGTGGTGAGCCTGGGGGGCACGCTGGTGGGTGTCGTCTTCGCCTTCCTGCTGTCCCTGGTGACACGCTTCACTAAGCATGTGCGCATCATCGAGCCCGGCTTTGTCTTCGTCATCTCCTACCTGTCCTACCTGACCTCCGAGATGCTGTCCCTGTCGGCCATCCTGGCGTAAGCCATCCCGCTGTCCTCCTGGTGGCAGGCTGGAGAGCCCTGCACTGGGCCTGGGACAGCACTCCAGGCTGGTGCCTCTGCCAGGGGGCCTGGGGGTGGGTGGAGGGCAACCCCAAGGTCACACCCTGCCCTGGGCAGGGGACGTGAAGGGGGGGGGCCACCCTCCCTCCTCACCCTCCCTCCTCAGAGTGTGACCTTTGGAGCACGCCTCCCAGCTGCCTCAGCCCCAGGCTGGGTGGAAATTCATGGTCGGGGGAGAAAGAATCTGTTGTATTTAGTTTTTAAAGAAGGAGTTGGCGTTTCCACAGAATGGTCCAAGGCCAGATGCAGCGCCTGCGGGGGGCAGGGAGGACAGACCACAGAGCTGGCCCAGCTCAGGGCTGGCCCCCCATCTGCCAGGCCCACCCAGTGCAGGACTGACCGTGGGGGGTCAGCAGGGGGGGGCCTCAGCAGCATCTGGCCAGGCTCATGTGCTGCCGCCCACAGCATCACCTTCTGTGGCATCTGCTGCCAGAAGTACGTGAAGGCCAACATCTCAGAGCAGTCGGCCACGACCGTGCGCTACACCATGAAGATGCTGGCCAGCGGGGCCGAGACCATCATCTTCATGTTCCTTGGCATCTCGGCGGTGGACCCCCTCATCTGGACCTGGAACACAGCCTTCGTGCTGCTCACGCTGGTCTTCATCTCCGTGTACCGGGCCCTTGGTAAGGACCTGGCATTTTTCACAGCCACCAGGCTTCTCTCAGCCCAGTGACCACAGACCTGGACCATGGCTGGCACCCATGAAGGTCCAGGCTGCCTCAGGGCCCCAGGGCAGGCACGGCCAAGGGATCACGGTGGAGGGCTGTGGACTCCAGAGGGACCCACCTGTTACCACTGACTCACTCTCAATGGGGCCCCAGGGCAGGACCGCAGTGATGGACATGGGGCCAGAGGTCCTGTTGGTCCCTCCTACCGGGAGCATGACCAGGGGGCCCCTGGGAAGCACCCACCGCTCCAGCCACTGGAATCGTGGAGGGACAGGAGGCAGAGAGCTGTGGGAGAAAAGCCACGGCACCAGGAGGGTAGCCAGGGTCCGTCCCCGGGAAGGGGACACTGGCTGAGCCTGCCTCCCCACCACAGGCATTGTCCTGCAGACCTGGATCCTGAACCGGTACCGCATGGTGCAGTTGGAACCCATCGACCAGGTGGTCATGTCCTACGGCGGCCTGCGCGGGGCCGTGGCCTACGCCCTGGTGGTGCTGCTGGATGAGAACAAGGTCAAGGAGAAGAACCTCTTTGTCAGCACTACCATCATCGTGGTCTTCTTCACGGTCATCTTCCAGGTGTGGCTGGGCAGGCCGTGCAGTCCTGTCCCCACAGGCCAGGCTCGGCCCACCTCAGCGCCGCAGGACCAATTTCCAGCCTCCAGACCTAACTGGGTCTTGTAATTTTAGTAACTAGGAGCGTTTTGTAGGTTTTCACGTGGCCCCACAGGGGACCTGGCACAGTTTGTCCTGAGTGCTAGGCTGGCTGTGCTGATGAGTAGAGCCCCTGTGGACACCCAGCTGAGTGTCATCAGACTCGCTGGTTCTTGTCATTCTTGGTACCATTTGTACATGACCAGAGGATTCCGGGAGGGGGCAGGAAATTTCACTTGCTGGCCAAGGAAAGGGGAAGGGAGCCCAGGCTGTGAGGCACCTCCTGGGGCAGGCTGGGTGCTGACAGGGCTGTGAAGCCATGTGGCCAGGACTCAGGGTGCCACTTCCTTCTTCCCTAACTGGGGTGAAGTCAGACCAACCCTGCTGGTGGGTATGTCTTTACCCTGGTTATGAGATGTCAAGCCCCAGGCCTGGAGTGGCTCTGGGGCATCCAGACCACATGGAGACAGTCTGGGCTGCCTCCTGTTTGGAGCAGGGTCCCACATGGGAAGGTACCTGGGAGCACCCGGCCACCCATCCAGCCTCTCACTGCTGCAAGCGGGCAGTGGGATGGGCTGTCAGTTTCAGGGTTCAGTCTGGTGACAGGTCTGGTGGTCCCAGGAGCCAGGTGGGGGCCGGGGTGTCCTTATGAACCCTGTGGCATAGGCTAGGGCTCGTTTCTGCAGGGCAGTGTCACAGAGGCTGGTGTCCCTGGGCTTCCCAGCGTGGCAGGGAGGTCACGCAAGGGCTGGGGTCAGGGAGTCCTGCCTGGCATCAGGATCAGTGAGGCTGGTCTTCCAGGGCCTGACCATCAAGCCCCTGGTGCAGTGGCTAAAGGTGAAGAGGAGTGAGCAACGGGAGCCCAAGCTCAACGAGAAGCTGCACGGTCGGGTAGGGCAGTGGGCATGGGCAGACATGGGCAGGGCAGCAGTGTGGGGTGGAGGGGGACTGGCGAAGGTGGAGGGAGGGGCAGGTCCCCAGGTCGCCTGGGGTTCCAGGAAGCTGCGTGGTCCCAGTGAGGCTGAGGAGGGTCTTTCTGTCCCAAAGGCATTTGACCATATCCTCTCTGCCATCGAGGACATCTCAGGACAAATTGGACACAATTATCTCAGAGATAAGTAAGTGGCCAGAGGTGGACCAAAGCGGGAACCAAAGGCACACTCCTCCCTAAGACGGTGGGACCCACAGGGCACAGGTAGGGCCACCACAGACCCTGCAATGGTACGGGGATTGAGTCACCATGGTCTGAGGGATACAGCTGTCAGGAGGACCCTTCTTTGCACAGGAGCCAGAGGCTACTGGCCCAATTGTGGGGAGCCCCACTCTAGCTGAGCTTAGATGCCTTTTACTGTGGCTGACCAGCTATATTGTTTACTTGTGGGAAATTGAAAAATCAGAGTAAACCATCCCTGTATGAACAGAAGAGGGGCACATTAGTGTCGCTCAATATTTAAAATTACTTTGTTCATGAAATTGGAATCATCAATTTATGTCTTGTTACGAATCTGAAAACTAAAGCACATAAAGCCCACTCATTGGCCCCTGCTTCATGAAACGATCCTCTACGTTTCCCAGAGGCTGCAGCTCACCTGGCAGAACACCCAGGCTTACAGCCCCGGGCACCTGAGCTGCTTGCACCACCTCTGAGGCCAGGTGCCACCTGGAAGCCTTGTCCACAAGGCAAGGACATGGAGCATGGTGTCACCTGTGTTCTGAAGGCCACTGCCACCAAACAGCAAGGCTCAGAGGGCAGGCAGGGCAAGGTGAACTCAGCCTGCCACTTAAAACTCACCTCTAGGCATGTTGCAGTAAATGAAAGGGTCCTGGGAGACTCTCGTCTACCCAGCCTTGTCCAGCTCCCACCTGCCTGGGGCAGGCAGCCCCACCTAACTGCTGATGTGACTGTCTGTCCCCCAGGTGGTCCAGTTTTGATAGGAAGTTCCTCAGCAAGGTCCTGATGAGAAGGTCAGCCCAAAAGTCTCGAGATCGGATTCTGAATGTCTTCCATGAGCTGAACTTGAAAGACGCCATTAGCTATGTGGCTGAGGTACTAGAACATTCCATGTCCTTCTGGAGTTGGGAGCTGAAGCAAGGGTTCATTGGATGTGGTCCAGGATCACGCAAGAGGGCCTGCACTCTGTGCACGGGTGGCCTGCCCCCAAAACTCAAGTGCAGCTCAGGGTTCCTCGGATCCCTGGGGCAGGCATGTCAGAGCTCCCTCCCGAGGGCAGCGAGGCCCTGGGCAGGTGATGCTCAGACAGACACTGGTGCGGGTGGGTCTATGCACAAGGTCAGGGCTCCTGATCCTGAGTTCAAGATGGAGGAGGAGGAGCAGGGAGGAGGTTAGGAGCCAAGGCCCTGGCACATGCAGGCACACCTGGGGGAAGCAGCAGGACTTCTGCCTTGTCCTCTGCTTCACCAGATGAACGAATCCACCCCCAAGTCAAGGCGGGAGCAGACGCTGCCCACACATTGGTGGCTGGATGTGTCCAGGGCGTGGCACAGAGGAGCCAGCTCAGAGGCACGTGGGAGGAGGGACAAGTCCTGTCATGGCTCTCAGGGCATGTGGTTAGGGGACAGCACAGCCCACCCCTGCACACAGTCAGGACTCAGGATGTGTGGGTGGACATGGGAGGCACACGGGTCATGGCAGAGTGCAGTCCCACCCCTGCCCTCCCCACCTGGGTCCCAGGTGTGCCCACATGGTCTCCCTGTCCCTTGTCCTGGCAGGCCCCACAGGGCTGCCCACAGTGGCAGGGCCTCAACCTCAGATGGCTGAGGGCCTCCTCTAAAAGCCGAAATCCTACTGAAGGCTACAATTTGTTTTCTGGAGCTGGATGAGGATGGGAATGCGAGGGCAGGCAGGGGTCTCTGGCGGCCTCTGAGTGCTGCTTCCTGTCTTTGAAGAACTCCTCAACTCCTCACTTTATGTGACGGGTACCAAACAGGGTGCCGAGCCTGTCCTCTACCCGCACCAGCCAGCAGTACCTGACACAGGACCCACAACCTTGGGCTCTGCTCTCTCCCCAACAGCGTTCCCAACAGAAATGGCCCCAGATCCGGGAGAGTACACATTCACAGCCTCAAGCCTACCCTTGAGGGTGCTCATTACCCCAGCACCTTCCCAGTCCCAGCCCCAGCTCCAAGGGTCCCTCTTCCTCTCTGACGTCCCCTTGGGGGAGGCATGCCAGGAACTGTAGGTGCTGCAGACCTGACCTTGCCAGTCTGTGGGAGGGGAAGGGCATGTGGAGAATGCAGGGCTTGGAAGTAAGAGGCAGGTGATGATGCACCAGATGCCCTGGAGGGGGCCAGTGTGGCTGAGGATGACCCAGACACCCTCGAGCCACCCCCTATCCAGGCTCCCAGGGAGCATTTCCTGAACTGAAAAGTACAGTGCACATGTCAAAGCTAGTTAAAGATGAGGAGCAGCCTGACAACTCCGGCCACCGTCTTCCTCAGCCTTCCCTGGGCTGTAGCCCACCGTGATCCGTGTCCTCTGAGGCTTCTCACCCTCCTGACCCAGGCCCCAGCCAGAGCACAGCTCCTCTGTCCTCCAGCAACTTCTGGGTTGCTGTTGGAGCCCATCAGGGCCTGAGGCCTGTGGGTTGGAAGCCCCAGTGAGGAGAGCCCCCCCATAATCTGCAAGTAAGACGGTGCCTTCCCAGATCCCCCCAAATGCCCTCCAAGAGGTTCTTTCTCCTCTGAACAGCTGTGTGTTGGACCAATCCTCAACTCCAGCCACTCAGGCAGTGTCCTGTCTGGACCCTGCGGGAGCTAGTCTCCTTGCTGTCTGTGCCTCTGGAGCCCTGCAGGCTGTGGGTAGGCACTGGCACACGGGTGCACAGTCTCACGCAGGGCTGACTTTCCCTAGGCTCTGCCTCCACCTCCCAGGCCCTGTGGGCCCAAGCACAGGCAGCAGGGCCCCCAGTCTTCCAAGTTTCAGGTGCTTTCCAGGGCCTCCCTCCCTCAGCAGACATCTGCCTGTCCCTGCAGGGAGAGCGGCGCGGGTCACTGGCCTTCATCCGCTCCCCAAGCACCGACAACATGGTGAACGTAGACTTCAGCACACCGCGCCCATCCACCGTGGAGGCCTCTGTGTCCTACCTCCTGTACGTGTGCACCTTGTGTGCTGCTGCCCTGGCCTGCAGCTGGGTGGGGTCTTCCCTGGGTCACTCCTCCTCCAGGCCTGGGGAAATCATAAATGGGCCAGTGGGCGGTTTGGGGGCCTGAACTGGGATGGGAAAGCACTGAAAAGTGCATTTTCCCACCATGCAGACCTACTTCACTATGAAACTGGCAAGAGCACTGAAATGACGTGCGAGGGGCAGAGGGCAGCTGGGGGCTAAGACCTGGTCTGTTTCCCCTGGCTACCATGTGCCTGTCCTGGCCCAGGGGAAAACAGACCAGGTCTGTCAGATTTGGTGTCTGCTGCCCCAGGCAGCTTATAGCCAGTTCTAACTGAAGACGGCTGGTACAGGTGTCCCAGCACCAGGAAAAGGCAGCGGGCAGGCTTGCTCCAGGGCCCCACAGCTGGGCTTTTCAGGGGATTCCAGGGGTCTGCCTTTAAAAGAGGCTGGGAAGGCCTTGTGGGAGTCAGTCTGACTGGAGTCCCAGGGAGAGGAGAGCAGGACAGGTGCCTAGCTGTGCAGACCTGGGCAGGAGTGCACGGGAGCAGCTCCTCCTGGGGCTCTTGCAGGAGGGAGAATGTCAGCGCCGTGCGCCTGGACATGCAGTCCCTGGAGCAGAGACGGAGGAGCATCCGAGACACGGAGGACATGGTCACCCACCACACGCTGCAGCAGTACCTGTACAAGCCCCGGCAGGAGGTGGGCAGGGGTTGCTCACCAGACCCTCCCAGCTTCTGGAGGCGAGGTCCACCGGGATCCCTTCCCCGGTGCTGGGGTGAGGCGTCTGCCCCTGCCCTCCAGGCACTGGCGGAGCCCATGGAGTCCCGGGGTAGCCCCGGGGTAGCGTCCTCCCTCTCCCCAGGCAGAGTGGTCGGGAGGGCCAGGCAGGAGTTCAGCTGTGACCCGCTCAGCCCGACCGCCCGCTTCCCCCCAGTACAAGCATCTCTACAGTCGGCACAAGCTAACTCCAAACGAGAGCGAGAAACAGGACAAGGAGATCTTCCACAGAACGATGCGAAAACGCCTGGAGTCCTTCAAGTCGGCTAAGCTGGGGATCAACCAAAACAAGAAGGCTGCCAAGCTGTACAAGAGGGAGCGCGCGCAGAAGCGGGTGAGGGGCGGGGCCGGCTGTGGGCGGAGCCGAGCCAGTGGGCGGGGCCGGCGGGAGAGGCGGGACCCGCAGCGGGTGACAGGTGTCTGGGGGTCCGATCCAAGTCTGGAGGGCCATGGATCTTGGGATGAAGGTCGGTCGCCCGGGCCGGGTCAGTGGGCGCAGCAGCACCGAATGGCCCCTGGGCGGAGACCCTCGGAACCTCCTCGGAGGGAGACCGTCCTGGCAGGCTTGGGCCTGAACACAGGTTGCGAATGTAAGGCCTTGTGCTTGTCCACAGAGGAACAGCAGCATCCCCAATGGGAAGCTGCCCATGGAGAGCCCAGTGCACAGCTTCACCATCAAGGAGAAAGGTATGGCTGCTCCCTGCCTGTCACACACAGGATGTGTGCCGGGGCTGTCTCCCGAGATCCTGCCCCCCCCCCCCCGTTGCCCCCACTCCCCTGGCACTTCACCCCCACTGCAACCCTAGCAGTCCCCTGGGCTGGGAGGCTGCTGCCAGGCCTGGCACTCCTTCCCTCTCCTCCCGAGACCATCAGACCCGGGCCCCATCCCTCCCTGCTGCCAACCGTGAGGTTCCAGCCCCTCTCCAATGAGATTTTCAGAAGTCCAGGTGGGGCTGGGGTCATGAGAGGGCGCAACAGAGATGATTCTTCCTTTGCACAGTTACCTGGCCACTGGGATGCCCAGCCATTCCTGAGCCTCAATGACAACCCACAGGGGACACAGGCCACTTTTACCCTCTTCTTGCCCCCTGCCCCCTAGATTTGGAGCTTTCAGACCCTGAGGAGGCCCCTGACTATGAAGCAGAGGAGACCAGTGGGGGCATCGAATTCCTGGCCAGTGTCACAAAGGATACTGCCTCTGACTCCCAAGCAGGTGAGAGAGGGACTAAGGCGGGGTGAAGTGAGTTCTGTCAGTGGAGGAGGAACCCCCTGCCTTGGGAGGCTTGGCTGCTCCTGGAGGCCCATGCACAGGCTCCCAGCATGGCCCCTCTATCCAAAGGACCCTCCCCAGGGCAGAAGGCAGGCTCACCTGCTTATAGTGTGTGGGTTTATAGTGTGCAGGGAAGGCCTGGTGTGAGAGCTGCAGGCTAAAAGGACTGACCTTCCAGGTGACCTTGCAGGTGGCTGCCACAGGACGAGCTGGCGGCTGCACCAGGCAGTGCCTTCCCCCTGCTGCTGATGGGGGTGCTCCTGGGAGGCTGATCAGCTGCTGCCCTTTTTCCTAGGAATCGACAACCCTGTGTTCTCCCCCGAGGAGGACCTGGACCCCAGCATCCTGGCCAGGGTGCCGCCCTGGCTGTCCCCTGGCGAGACTGTGGTACCCTCCCAGAGGGCCCGAGTACAGATCCCCCACTCTCCTGGCAACTTCCGGCGCCTGACACCCTTACGCCTCAGCAACAAGTCAGTGGACTCCTTCCTGCTGGCTGATGGCACTGAGGAACGGCCCCACGCTGCCCTCCCCGAGTCCACACACATGTAACTGTCACCCTGGCTCCTAACACCCTCTCTGTTCTCAGCTGTTTCCTCCAGGTCTCTCTCCTGGACCTGCACTTTCACAAGCTCTCTCCTGCAGTTTTCTTCCTTCTCTAGAGCCTGTCTCTACGGGAGTCTGACTCACTGCACATTTCTTAGGAGATGCTGATGAACAATACTCACCTGATTCTCTGCTTCTCCAGCTAAGATTTAGGGATCCAGAGGGTGTGAGGATTGTTTGGATTTATGTTGTCATGCTGTCTTGTGAGAATTTACTTTTAGACTGTCAGTTGGATCATAAACTTTATCTGCATGATCAGCCCTGAATCTCACTCCTGAGCTGACCAGGCCTGTGTGTGAAGGAGATGTCCATTTTGATCCAAAGGCCCACAGCTGGGGAAGCATCCAGCTGCCAGCTCATCCAGGAGAGAGGCAGTGGGCCTCTCCCACCTCCTATAGAGGGGTGCAGGGGCAGGGTTTAGGAGGGAACCCTGTGAGGGCTGACCAGTAGCCAGGGGGTTCTGCCCACCATCTGGCTAACAGCAGCCTTGTGGGCCTTATCTTGCAGGAGGTGGGGTGCCCTTGATGCTGGGTGGGGAGCAAGGTGACTGATGAACAGATACGCCAAGAGCCCTCTCACTGTTGCCCATGACTGTCTGCAGTGAACAGGGTGATACCCCCCCTGGGCAGTGTCTTGAGGTATTCCAACTTTCCTTGGGGTGCCTGACAGGCAGGTAGAACTGTTATAGTGGGTGGGTCTGGCCCAGACCAGGTTTCAGCTCCCCGTCAAACACAGAGGAAGTGTTTTCTCTGGTGGACACTTGCAGAGGGTTTTACCAGTCTACCCGATACCTCTGCAAGAGTTCTGTCCCACACCCTCACTGCTGGGGTTCCTCCGGTGGGCCCTGCTTCAGGAATGGGTATTGGACTCATGCAGTAAGTGGGCTTCCACTGAGACTAGAAACAGGCACAGCAGTGACACCAGGCGTGGGTGGTCCCACCTGCTGTCCTCCCCTGCTCCTTGCTTTTGCCTCTGAACCTTCTGCTTCCCCCCCCCGCCCCCCCCCCCCAGTGTCATCCTGGAATCCCATTTGTCCTTAGAGCAAGGTACTCAGAGGAGCTTCTGGCCAAGTTTCCTGAGCAGAGCAGCTGCAGGGGGTGGGCGTGATGCTAGATGTCCCTCTGTAGAAGGGGAACCTATCAAGGGCATGGCCTCAAATTGCACAGAACATTCCAAGTGGTCTAGCCATCCTGGCCCAGGGATGCTTATTGGTGGCTAGTATCCCCTAACCCTCTGCTTACTTTTTAGGGGACAGCATAGAGTGAAAGGGCCCCAGCAGTCAGCTGGAACAGCGGTCAAATGCTCCTCCTTGCCCATGGCGGGGATGGGGGGGTGCTACCCTCTGCACCTTCTTTTGAACAAGCCCTGGGGTGGCACCTCAGGAACAGAAAAGTCAAGGGGAAAGGAACATTGGGCAGAAGGCATGACTATCTGGGCCAGGGGCCACGGGTGCCCAGTAGCAGCTTACGCCTCCTTGTCCTCCTGCAGGTGACACTGGCTCCGACACGCCGCTGATAGGACACTCGTCTCCGCGCCGGGGGTCGCCCGCCACTGCCCAGCAGCCCCAGTTGCCGGCGCGGCTCCCGCGGCCGCGCGCTGCAAGCCCCGCGCCGCCCGAGAACACTGAGTCGGTGGCCGCAGCGCTATCCGCCCGCGAGCCAGGGGCGGGTCCCACGCAGGGGGCGGGGCCGGAGCGCAGGGCGTTGCCCAGCGCGCACGCGCGGTCAGCGGCAGCGCGCCGTGTGCACAGCCGGCGCTCGTTCCAGCGGCCCCGCACACGCCGCCGCCCTGCGTTGCTCAAGCTCGCGTCGCTGCAGCCTCCTGGCCCCGCCGAGTTGCCGCCGCACGCGCTTGAGCAGGAGGAGACGCCGCTGTAACCAAGACCGCCGCCCCGGCCTCCCCGAGGGTGGCCTGGCCCCCAGGGTCTCCCCTCCCTGCCAGCCTGGCGCCTCGAGGCGCCTACACCCACCTCGCCCAGGTGCAGGGCTGGCCTCCAGTCGGGAGGTCTGGCAGGTGCTCCATTTGGGGCTGCTGCCCGCTTGCCGCTTCCAGCTGAGCGGCACTTCTATGTTGATCTTTCGTTGTCACCGTGACTCAGGGACAGGAAAGCCTCAGAGGCCTGTGACCATCTTCATCACGCCAGGCCACTAGGTCACGAACAAAAGATCTGCCCAAGTGATAGGCCCTGACCAGTTCCCCCCGCCTCCGCCCCCAGCTGGTTCTCACCACCCTCAGTGGTCTCCCAGTCCCAGGGTGGGGGCCCAAGCCCCTCTGACCCCTTCATATCCATTTGCCAGGTCTCCAAACTTCCCGGTGGCCACAGGGCCTGTGGATGCCATCACAGGAATATCTTTGTTTGCTTTTGCGTTTGGGCTCCTCCAGTCCAGCCTTTGTCCTGCCCTCCCCCCCTGAAGCTCCCTTAGGACTGTCCTGTCTCAGCAGAAAGACCTCTGACTGGAGCTGTTCCTTCTTTTGCTGGGGTGGCTGCAGATGGCCTGGCTGGGCTGGGGCATAGAGGGGGCCTCAGAGGCACCCTTTGTTCAGAATCAGAGCTAGTTGTGCCCCACTTGACACAGTGGCAGAAGAGCACTCAGGGCCATGGGTGGCTCCAAGGAGGGCTTGGTTGGACATCCTGTGCCTGTCCTGAACTCCTTCCATCTCTCCAGGGCTCAGGACAGAGCCCTGTTCCTGGTGTGGTGCGAGGAATGCTGCTTCCATTCCACAGAACCTGAGCGGGGTCCGTGTTTCCTTCTGCCCCACCCCCCTTCAGGCTGCCGTGCAGGTCTCACTTGAGGAAGACCAGAGGGACTAAAGTGCACTCAGCCACAACCCACCCCTGAAGCTTTCCTGAAACCACTCGGCTTTCTGCTCAGGAAAACTAAAAGCCCATGTCTCAGGATAGAAGTGGACATTCACGAGTCCAGGAGGTCAGCAGCAGTGTGCACTGTCACTGCACATCAGGTCTTAGGCAGGAAAACACACCATTTCTTATTGACAGCTTTACTGTTTGGAGAAACAGATGAAGACAATGCCAGTTTGTTCAAGCCTCCATGGCTTCTCCTCGAGCAGCTTTCTGTGATGGAAACATCAGCTCATCACTTCATCCCTAGCCCATTCTCATTGGTCGGGGCAAGTGTCTGGCTTGCAGCCATCTTTATCCACTGTGAGGCCAAGTTCTGCCAGGGCATAGCATAGCTGGCCCAGCAGTGATCCCATCAGACAGCACTGTTGGTGCTTGTTGGGGGCAAACGGGGCCACCCAAGGGTTCTCTGAGAAAAGCCCATCAGCACCCACTATACCCCTGCAGCCAAGCCCCCTGCGCCTGCCCTCTGATGAAGCTGCCTTAACACCCCTGGACTGCTGGGCATGGGGACTGATCGCCATGGCAGAGTCAGAAGCCAAGCCAGACCAGCAGCTCAGATGGCACCCCGCGGCCGTGCACTGGACCAATACCAAAGCCAGCAGCCAGGGTGTGAGCCTGCCCGACACCTCCTTGACACTCCATCTACCAAGGTCCACCATGTTGCTCAGCTTGTGTGATCAGCACAGCGGGACACAATCATGATGGAGCCAGACTCCAGGCAAGAAGGGGTTGCTACCAGAAGCTCACCATGTGTGCTCAGATGCCCCCATGCTGTGACCGGCACTGTGGCTGCAAATCATAGATAGGAATCCTGCCATTCCTCTCCACTGTTTTAAAGCCGAAGGCAAAGTCCCGTGGATGTATTTCCTTAGGAAAACTGTTGTTATAACATTATTTATTTAATAAAGAACTTCTATTTTGTGGTACTATAAAGTACAAAAATTTAGGAAATTTCTTTTTCTTACCTGCATTTTATTGAAAATTTTGTTATGGTGTTCAATATTCTGTATATTACTGATCTTGTTAAGAGAATTTTGTCAAAATTGGAAGTGTATTTTCTGAGTGGTGAAAACTGTATGTCAATGTTGTGAATGTAATCAAACTTTTGTGTACCTCTGATCACAGGATGATGTGCCTTAAAACACCCCTCCTACTGTGCCAAGCAGGGAGCCTGTCACGAACACCATGCAATAACCAACTGCTTGACCAATTCTATTAAAAACATTTCAAGGCATTTTGGGTGCAAACTCTGTTTATAAATGAGGACGTACGGAGCAGATGTTCTGCATGAACACCAACATGATCTATGTGTGGTGTTTCCACCCTGCTGTGAAGTATCCCTGGCTGGAGGGAGCATGTTGTATGGCACAGCTGTGAAGCAGTCCAAGGTACTGAGCAGAGTGAGCGCTGGGCGCTAGCATCCCCCTTCAGAGGATGCCTGTCAGATTCTCTCAGATGCCAAAGAGGGGTCTGTATCTGGGCAGTGACTGGGCCATGGGCAGCTGGAACAGCATCCACTGGGCCTGAGTGGGAGGAGGTGGCACCTGAGGCACCAGAGTGGCTGGGCACAGGCTGAGATGCCAGGAATATCGGCGTTCAGAGCCTGGTGGCCAACAAGGTCCTTGCAGGTTGAGATGAGGATGGTACAGAGGCAGGGGTATGGGTGGTGGAGCCTCCAGCATGTCAGATATAAGATCTAGGTGTCAGACGCACTTTTAAATTTTAGAATTTTATTAATAAAAGTTGCATAGCAGAGTCCACAGACACTGATTATAAGAGACGTGTAAGTGGTAAATTCACAGCCACCTCAAAGAAGATATAATAGTGAATGTGGGTGAACCAGAACCACAGACTGGGGGCTCCCAGGTCACTCCTGCAGGCCTGGTGGCAGTGCAGTAGCGGGAGAGGGGTCCTCTCTGGGCTCTTCCTGGCTCCAGTGGCTTCAAGAGGCCTCTGCCCTTCACCCACGTGACTTCCTCTCACCTTGACCTATCCCCATCAGGTACCACCCTGTTTCCAGTTACACTAAGATACTGTGACAGGCCTTGATTTCTCTTTTGGGGGGCTATAACTCTGCCTATCACAATGAGGAAGAGGTGTGAGCAGAGGTGGCTGTTTCTCTAGTTTCCCCTTGGCTTGGGGGTGTGGGCAGCTGGGCTGCGGTGCCCCAGGTATATGTGCCTGGATGTTGGTCCATTCTTTTGAACAGAGGGGGCCTTGCCCACCAGCCTCTTCCTGACAGATATTTGGGCTATTTTGGGGTGTGCAGGTTACAGGAAGCAGCTGGAATGTGCACTGTACAGACACGAAAGGAGGATGGGAATGTGAGATGCTCTGGTCTCATGAGCAACCCAGGAATACGTCCTTGGCTTCTGCCCACCGATATGACCTAGAATCAAGGAATTCTGCTGCTGTGGAATTCCCTCACTAACTGATGACCCCCTGGATGGAGTATAATCCTAAGATGAGTGGGCATGCTGTAGGAGCCTCCCAAGCTCCCTCCGGGTCCCTTTCCTCAGCTGGCACTCAGAAGCCAGACTCCTGGGCAGGAAGCAGACACTGGCTTTTGGTGGGGTGGCTGGGCTCTTTGCTGGGTGCTGCCTGTCCAGGCCTGTATGCGGGCATTCTCCACTGAGTGGCCAGGAGAGGGCTGGCCCCAGTGTCAGGATGAATACTGCCCACCCAGAAGAATGTGGGTGGTCTGGTGCCACCCATGGTTCCCAGCAGACCCCAGCCAGCATCCCACCTCCAAAAATCACACTGTCCTGCTGTTGGAAAAACTGCTCACACCTTGTGTCTGCAGGCAGAGCTAGGAGTCCAACGCTTAGCCTTCAGGGGTCCTGAAGAGCAATAGGAGCAGGCACAGCGGGTGCCATGTGGGCACACTGCTGTTCTGAATATCCACTTGGACACCCACGGCAGCCTGGAGTCAGGACTCTCAGTGGGATAGGAGTGTCCTTCATTCCTGTAAGGGCGTGAAGAAGCTCACATATGCTGAGACTTCACCAGCACAGGACACACTCCTTGAAAGCATACAGGCAGGCACTCAAGGGCACAGGCTTGCTGAATGCAGCCAGAAAGGCCGTTATCTTCCATAACCCTCCATGTTCAGTTATCGGATTCCACTTAGGTTTTGATTCTTTCAAACAAACAAGGCCTGCGAATTTCCCACATCTTGTGAGGATGGAATAAATGCGGAATACAGCTCTGCCTTTGTCAGAGAGGAACAGCACTCTCCCATGCAAGGCCCATAGTCCCCTCCAGAGGTGAGATGCCCACAGCCCAGCCTCCCAGGCTCTGTGATGAGGGTGGGTGACCGCTCCATGTGAAGGGCTGGTGGCAATGTTGCTGTGCTGAGCAGTGGGCAGCTGGCTCTCAGACAGTGGCACAGGGACAGCAAGGACACAAGGCTTGCCATCCTTTCAGGTAACGTTGAGATGAACATGCAGAGGGTGCTGCCAGCGGAGGTGAGGCTGTAGAGGGGCAGCTATGCAGGGAAAAAGAATTTTAGGGACTCTGCACCAAGAATAAGTGAGACTCACGGACCCAGAGATGTATTCCAGACACCGATTTTCATACATGCCTTTATCAAAACCAGCACTCAGGACATGCTCATCCCACACGACTGGCTCACCTGACCTGGTGGCATGCCCATGCGGGCTCTGACCACTGGGCAGGCTAACTGGGACCAGCAGCTGATTTTTCCTATGTATAGGACTGAGGAACCAGTCAAGCACCTCCAGGAAGGCCAGGGTAAAACCTTTCCACGTGGGGACAATGAGGGATGCCCACCTCACCTTCCCACACAGGGAGACCAGACCCCGGGAGAACCAGGGGACACCCACCACACCTTCCCACCACAAGCCACAAGAGGGTCTCATTGGCAGAAGAGTCCTCACAGAGCATGTTCCTGGGGTAGAACACCCACAACAAAATCACGCCCCAGCACTTCACGTCATGTGCATCTGGGCACCAGAGCAGACAGGTACATGTCACCTTGACCACCAAATGTGGCCTGGAGTAGGTTTTGTTTTAATGTGTGTGAGGGTAAGGAGGTGAAGCCACAGTGACGTGCACAGGCCAGGACAATGCAGCTACTTGAGGAGCTTGGCCACATTCAGACTCGGCACGGTGATCTCCCTGAAGATGGGCACGTAGCTGGGGTTTGCCTGTGCAGGGCCCTGCTCCAGCGTCTCAATTATGGTCTGCTTCATGTCCCGGCTGGCATCTCCTCGCACGGCCAGCAGTGCACCAATGTGGTCGTCTCTGTGGGTTGGACAGGGGTCAGTCTGTCCCACTCTGCCCTCCCTTGTCCCCCACATAGCTGTCTCTAGGGGTCAGCCTGTACCTACTCCACCCTCCCTCGCCCCCACAGGGCAGTTGCTCAGGCCCCAGACAAAGGGCAGCGTTTCCTTCTCAGAGAAACGGAGTCTCAGCTGGTGGTGGCCTCTCCAACCACAGGTGCCAAAGGCTGCATCTGTAACTGGTGGCTTAAAACTGCTAATTAGGGGGACCCCAGGGGGTTCTTGCTGCAACAGAGCTGCGGCAGTGAGAGAAGGGGCCTCAACGGAGTCAGCTGTACTTGGCTTCGAGGTGGAAGGTCCTCCCCCTGCTCCGCCTGAGGCTGGGGACCAACAAGATCACGTGTGCAAGAAAGTGTCTGGGCCATGTATGGCAGGTGGGCTTTCTTTCTTAGGTCCCCAAAGCACCACAGGACAGATATAACCTAGCCCTTTTGGGCTATGCACATGACCCTAGCCTTCCCTACCCCACCATCCTCTGAAGCGTCCAGCTGGAACATTCTCCACGGCCTCTGCCCCACAGCATCAGGGATGGGCCACACAGGAATATGTGGGCCTCGGCTAAGGCAAGGGGCATTAGGCAGAGGACACACTGGTGCCCTGGCCACCTTCCTCAAGCACCCAGTTGGACAAGTATATGCTCCTCCTCTTCCCAGTGACACTGGGCATGGCAGCCGCTCCCCAGCTCAAACAGGAAGGTGCACAGCTATTACCTGATGTCTGGATATTTGCTGACCAGGGTCGAGACTTCCAGGTAGAGCAGGGAAGGGTCCGTCAACTTAATAACCTCAGCCACAGCAACGATGGTGTCACAGTGACCATCCACGTCTTCGCCAAACCCCTGAAAAACAGCAGCAGGGTGAAGGCAGCCCTTGGCTGCAGAAACAGAGGCTGGCCTGACACCTCCCACACCCTCTCCTGGCCAACACCTTGCTCTTTCTGTGAACACCTCAAGGTTCATTCCAAAGGGGAGCTGAGCTTGTGTGACTACTTGGCCTGCTCATGCAGCTGGGGAGCCTGGGGCAAGGAGTGCCTGGTCACATCCTGGGCTGCAGACCAGGTGGCAACCAGCATAGTATAGAACAGGTCACAGGCAAGGGCAGAGGATGGGAAGGGAGCATCGTACCATCGAGTCACGGCTGCTAGGAAGCCAACAGTGGCCTCTGTGCTAATGTGTCTCTCAACCATGAAGCCAGGTGGGCTGTGGCCACCGACCCTAGGGAGGAAGAACTGCCTTCCTGCTAATGCAACTGGTTCCTACCTACTGGCCTAAAATGGCTTGGGGCTGGAAACTGAAAGCCAGACAGAGAAGGACCAGATCCTATGCATGGCACCTGCCATGAGCTCTTGACAGACTTCCTGAGACACTCACTGAAGCCAGCTTCCGGAACAGGAAGCGGAGCTGCTCGGCCTCCCTGACCATCTTCTCAGCGCCCTCCTTGCGCTCCTCGGCACTCCGGAATGAGATGCGCTTCTGCATGACAGCCCGCAGGTACTCCACTACCACACGCCGATGCGCCTCGGCCGTCATCCTCTGAGAGAAAAACGGTCAGCTGCAGGCTGCTGCTCTGGCAGACTCGTCGTGCTCCTTAAACCTGGGTGACATGGGACCAGGCTGCAGCCCATTCTTCCTATTTCCATCAAGATTGCTGGCAATATTTTGCTGGCAACTCAGCCAGTTTAGACCCACAATGCCCTGAGGCTCCCAACAGCACACAGCAAGCAATGGCCAGCACAGGCCACCCGCAGCACTGGCACACATGGGTGGGGAGGGCACCCACCACACAGATCCATCCTTGAAAGCAGGCAGAAACATGTGCCCGGGCAGGAACTCACTTCCCACACCATCTGACTCATAGGCAGAGACGAATAGTCTCTGCAAGAACAAGTTCAAGCAGGCTCAAGAGGTTAGGCCAGCTCAGCACTGCTGACCTGAGCCCTCCCCAGATTCCCCGGACGTGACCCCTCCTTGAAGCCCACAGCACTCTTGGGGGTTCCAGAACATGAATGCTCCCTGGGCTGATAGCAATCTTGGGGCTGCAAGCATCTCACCCCATAAATGAGCATGGGCTCAGCAGGGGCAAGGCCTGGGTACAGGCCAGAAGGATTCGTAGGACCCTGTGTGGACCAAACATGCAGCACTTGTCCCATGGTCTCAGGTCAGTGCTGGTCCCAGCAATGCTACATCTGAACAATGACAGGGACATCCCAGAAAAGAAGAGCCCTGAGACACATGGCACAGCTACCTGGGGGTCCCAGGAAGGATACAAATGAATAAAGGAAAACCTAGGGCATCACAGGGAGGAGAGGGCTGGAAGCCCAACACAGGTGGTCAGGCTCATCAGAGAGACAGTGCCTGCCACAGGTGACAAGGCCCGGAGAGAGGCATCAGTGGTCACCCTCAGCTGTACAACCCCTATGGCAATGCTGTCAGCCGTGGCAGGGGGCAGTGTGCCCAGGAGAGCACCAGCCTCCCTGGAGGACAGCCCCTTCCCTCAGGCCCCAGGGCTCCAAGAGCCCTGCAGATGCATGCACCACTGGCTGAGGATGTCAGAGAGGGTGCCAAGCACCCACTGACAGAACACCCACAAAAGTTGGAAAAGAGCACAAGCATGTGGGCAAAAAGATTTAAAACCAACCAGATTAGTCTGAAAAGTAACTGTGGCTTACAGAAATTAATGCAAGCTTGACAGGCAGGAGAACTCTGTTGAAAGCCCGGTTTGTGGCCAACACACAGCATGTTTACATATATATGTGCAACAACACACACAACATGCACATGAATATGCACACAGCACACAAGATACACAAGTGTACAATTCACATATAAAACTACCTATGCATGCATGCACACACAAAACACATGCGATATAACATGCTCAACATGCACATATGCAATACACACAATATATATGCCACCATAAGCATACACATGTAACACAAGTGTGCACATAAAACACTTGTGTAAACAAACACGCATGCCTCCACGTCCTACACATAGCGCACATGCGTAAGTATACACAGTGTGTATACATATGTGCAATACATACGTGTATGACACATATACCACATACAGGAATGGCAAATGTGCACATGCACTTGTAATTAGCATACGCACGTACACCCCACACAGCCTCTCTGGAGTCCCTCCCTCCCCCGGCCAGGAGACTGCAGCTCTCTCTTTCCACTTGGGCTGTATCCCTTTCTGAAAACAGTGTTGTGGCCCATGGTGTACAGGTGACTCTCAACCACAGCAGGGCACTGAGCATGAGGGCTCTGAGTCCAGAAGGTCCCACCCTCATCATGAGGCTCACTGTGGGTGTCAGAGCCCGAGATCAAGGGTGTGTAGGCTCTGCCCGTAAGCTGTTGGTGTGGCACTTGAGTCCTGGTGTCCCTGCTATTGTTGAGGACTGGCCTCATCAGAACTGTCTCATGTCCCTGCTTTGGCTGAGACAAAAGTTGTGGAGCCTGGAGCTGTCTTTTGCCCACTGCAAACACATACTGGCCTTCCATGCTCTTAACAACAGGCACAGAGATGGGGTGTGGACACAAGGGCCTCACCAACTTCTAGCAGATCTCTCAACAGCCAACAAGGATGGCCAAATTAGCTTGGTCAGTTTGAAGCACATGGTCTCCCTGTTCAAATCACTTCTGGGGGCTTGTTTGGTTCTAGGGACTGAACCTGGGGCATTTTACCACCAAGCTACATTCCTAGTCCTTTCTCACTGGTTTTGAGAGGGAGTCTTCCTAAGTTGCTGAGACCACCTTGGAACTAGTGATCCTCTTGCCTCAGGCTCTGAGTTGTGGGGATTATAGGCATTGCCACTGCACCTGGCTGTAAGGACCACTCTTAATGACAAAGAGCTAGAAGATTTTCCTTTAAAATCAGGAAGTGGACAAGGAAAAGGCATAAAAGACCACTGTGCAACTATGCTGCCTCCCTCCCCAGATTAACCAGACTTGAGATAAGCCCTCCCACATCCTTACCTTTTTGTAAGGCTTTTTGATTTTGGCAAAATCGTTAAAATAGTCTTCCACAGTGACACAGATGATGTCCACAGCGTTCGACCCCAACAGCCACTTCTTTGTCATCAGTTCATTCAGATGTTGCTGAAAAGCAGAGACAGGTCACAGAAATCCTAGTCCACAAAATGCCTGGGGTCGTGTGATTTGGGAGGGTTTTGTCCTTTGATTACAGCAGCAATACATGGTCAGGTAAAATATCTACTTGTGTGTAATCTGCACACCTGTACTTAAACAGGAGTGTATGTTACACAACCTTGTGATATCATGGAACCGCAGGTGAGAGGTGCAAGTACCTACACGCACACTGCCTTTTAGGGTACACACGCTTGTTGTGTGGACACTCACTCTATCATGTACCCACCCAAGTCTCTGCTGACGAACATCTGCAATTACAAATAACGCTACAACAAATGCACATTTTACATGTCCAATTTCTTGAGTGGAACTTCTCACTCAAATGTATGCAAATCAAACAGCCCTCCAAGGACTACCAATGCGGCTCTACCCAGAACACAAGAAGGCCCTCAGCTGTGCCTCCCTGGTGGTCAGGACTGGGCACTGCTTCACACTGAGGACCCTCATGACTTTGTATCATTTGTGTCCTTTGTTTATTTTTATGTCTCTTTTTCACATTTTAAAATTGTCTCAGAGGTAAACCCCTCCTCCTTTTTAAACTATGGCCCAGGGCTACAGGGGCATGCCTCCTCAGCCCTGGATGCCTGCCCGTGCCTTTCCATTGCTGTACAACCGCAGGTGATACTCCCTTCCCAGCAGGACCTGTAATGTCCAGCTTCACTTTTAGCAGGCACAGGGGTTTCTGCCAGTGCCTCCGGGCCATGCCTGTGCTATGCAGTGGATCCTGCCTGTTCATGGCCTGGTATGCCTTCCACGGCAAAATTCACTCTGTAAGTTTTGCTGGCGCGCGTTTCACTCTTCACCCCAGAGCCAGGCTGTGCATGTGCTCTCACTGTGCTTTGGGGATGGTCTCTTCACACTTGCTCTATCTCTTAACTCACATGCAGCTTGATGCCTCAACTTTAGTGGGAGTCTCCACAGATGTGCCTAAGACGGACCTCATGTCATCCAAAGTAAGCAGGAACCCCGGAAGCCCCTCACTCTGGTTTAATGAAGACATAGGGATGTATAGCTCAGGTCCTGTACAGCATCCACACTGGGCAGGAGGTAGTATGTTCCAAAGGGCAGCATGGAGACCCTTGTGATCTGCCCAGGAATGGAGGGAGAAGCCAGAACCCCCACCCTGGGGCAGCACAGAGGCCTTCTACCCAGCCCAGGAAGCAGGAACCAGGCCCACCTCCAGGTCCAGGAAGACTTCTTCCAGCAGGCTGCCACAGCCTTCCTTGGCAATGGTGTCTAGAATCCCATCCATGCTTGGCTGGCTCAGACACACACCCTCCTCCACTTCACCCTTTAAATACTTCCTTTTCAGGCTGACAATGGACTCTCTGCAACGAAGAGGTTTGGGTTCAGGGATGTAGCCATGTGTGCTCACTCTCCTCCCTGTTCCACACACCACTTACTTGAAGGTCTGGCAGTTGTTGATGATGGCGATCATGTACTGGACATAGCAGTGTGGGTGCTGCCGGTTCTTCAGGTGCTCCTCCTTGTACAGCTGGGCTTCATCCTTGTATCTGGGAACCACATGACAGTATTAGTAAAGGTGCCCTACAGCTGCTTCCAGGACCATGCTGACCTCACGCCCAACAGCGCCAAGATGGGTCTTGGGTGGTCATATGAATGAAAAAAGTTGTCTGCTTTAAGTGAATATTAAAAAACAATTTTAAGTCAGGTTTTGTGATCTGGTTCAGGTCCTGATCATGAAGATGTTGTGAAATACATGATTATAAGTAAACAGGAAAACATCAAATGCTAGGTAAAATGTCCCTTTTCAAAGTGCTACCTTAATTTAAAAAATCAAATTAAAAAAGAACTTTGAGCTGGGCAAGGTGGCACAGGCCTGTAATCCCACTGCGTTGACTCAGGAAGCTGAAGCAGGAGGACTGCAAGGCCAGTCTGGGCAGCTGTGAGACTGTGGCTCAAAATATAAGGACTGGGGCGTAGCTCAGCGGTTGAGCACCTGGATTCAATCCTTGGCACCACGAACAATAACAAAAAAAACTTAGATTTCTGAAATGTCAAGAACTGAGACACCACAGGCTTCACCATAAGAGGTAAGCATCTGCTTGCTCTGCCCTTCTGTCCACATGTGACTCCAGAACCAACCAGATAAAACTGGTCAGGGGAAATTCCTCTTCCCAGAAGACCCCCACAATTTAACTGATGCTTCAGCCATGGCCCCATGGGTACATGATGGGAAGCTGGGCCATAGCCCCATAGGTGCATGGTTGGGGAGCTAGACTGTACCCTCGTGGGTGCATGGAGAAGAGCTGGGCCATGGCCTCATGGGTGCATGGGGGGAGCTGGGCTGTGGTCTTGGGGATTAATGGCAGACAGAATTCAGGGAGGGGCCTGGTGGCTGACACCCAAGCCACCAGAGCAGGACAGATGTGAGTCCACTAAGCTGCAACATGGGGTGCACATGACAGTAATAAAGAGGGAACCAAGTCAAGTCTCTGAAGCTGACTCCTGGTCCAAGTGCAAACAGCAGGGACTAGGCTAATGACCCACAGACAGATGTCATGGGACTGTGATCTGTTTGTCTCTTCCACAGACCAGTGCCCAAAGGGCAGCCCTAGTGTCCCCGAGACCTAAGAACCCCAAAGACCATATGCCATGCAGACTGCTAGCCAGCTACTGAGATACGAGGAAGCACCAACACTGTCAGCTGAGCCCTTCTATATGTGAACTGGTGACATACATGGTTACAGCTGAAAATAGAGGACCCGACCAGCTGCAATGTTTGGGCAACAGAGAGAGATGAAGGAAAAGGGGGGAGGGGTGGGGAAGAGGAACAGATCAGGTGGAGTGGTCTGGAAGGAACAGCTTTTTGAGCAAGGATGATGGTACACACAGACTTAATGCCATCCCTTCTTCTGTCTAGGTTTAAGATCTTCATCGAGAACAATTCAGAGGGAGAGGCACACTAACATCACTTTGAGTCCCATCTGCTGAGGGCTGGTAACACCGATGTTTAGGGGAGTCACCCACCTGGACTCTGCCAGCACAACTGGCTACAGTGCTCATCAGGTCCAGGATCCCAAGGGAACGGTGTGGTCCATTCCAAGGAACATTAGGAGAAAACCTGCAATGCTTTTTTGCCTTTTTTTTTTTTAAATTAAAAATTTTTTTTAGCCATTGATGAACCTTTATTTTATTTATTTATATGTGGTGCTGAGAGTCCAATCTAGTGCCTCACACATGCTAGGCAAGTGCTCTATCACAGAGCCACAACCACACCCCACATTTTTGCATTTCTCAGTAAAATAGAAAATGGCTTATGGGAATCTTGAGGCTTAAGTTAATTTTAACAACAGCATATTACAATCAACGCATTTTTGCTTTTAACTTTTAAAAATACAGTTTATAAGAATTAGCATACTGGCAAAAATACATACCTACTCAGGAAAGAATTCATTTGCTGAAGACACAAAACTAGTACTTTTGTTTTCAAATCTTCATTTATCTGAGCAGCAACTTGAAGATTCTGTTCAAACATCTAAAAATTGGAGAACTTGTGAATTCTAGTAACAATCTCATAGGAGTATGATGTACACATTCCCCATTTATAAAACCTATCTGCTAGGATAGTCCAAATTAGAGAAAAAGAGGAACCACTAGGAAAATAAAGTTACTTAAACAAACAACTTTCTTAGGCGGCACCAAGCCAAGTTGGGACCTGCAGATTGGTTTCTATGGAGGAATGCAAGTTCTCCCACTGCATCTACTAGGATGTGAAGAGGACTGACAGGGAGTGGGGCCAGGAGGTCAAGGGACTGGGCCACGTGGATCCCAGGTGCTGGGCTGGAAGTCAGTGTCCTAGCTCTCACACTGCAGCTCGAAGAATCAGGAGGTGGCCATGCTGGAGCTAGGAGAGCTGGGCTCTGAGAGACGGAGAAGTGCAAGGTGCCCAGAGTGCGCGCCAGGCTCTGGTCATGATCCATGTGTCAGAATGTCAGTTTCCAAAAGAAAGGCAAGGTAGAACCCCAACCACTGCCCCATCACTAGACAACACCATCCTCCCAGGCACAACTCCAGCCCACTCCTGCCTTGAGAGGAGAGGAGGAACTAGAAGACACAGCTTGGGGCATCAGAAAGTGAGTTAATAGTAAGGACACAGGTGAGTCTAACACCAAGCACTCTGACTCATGAACAGGAAAGCATCTTTATTGCTGTAGGTCTCCTCCAAACTCCCCAGATTAAATTCAATCGTGTGGCACTTGAAGACAAATCCTGGATATTTAGACAAGCAAACTCAGAACGGGAGAGCTACATACAACTAACACAAAATTAGGTCCAGTTCAAGCCCAAAAAGCCTTCCCAGGAAAACCTAGGTACCATGGGCAAGACTACTTGGCAGGTCAGATCCTGTATCCTAACTCCAGAGACGGACATTGAGGGTTCTCAACATCTTTACTATGCTCTGCCTCCATTGGTGAGACCCACAACCCTTCTAGCCACCCAAGAAACAGTCTATGGAGCCTATGGCTTGTACCTGGAAGACAATGGCAGGAAGTGTTGTCTGGTAGTACCCATCTTGGTCAGCCTCAGGCTCTGTCTCTTTGCTCCAGTCTTTTCTGTCTGTTTCTAGTGCTTTCCGCAGCCAGGCAATGATGTTGGACTAGAGGTTTGGCATCATGAAGAGAAGGGAAGGTCAGAGTGGGTAGTTATGTCCAAGGATCCCCTGAAGCCATGTGTAGCTATTGCATAGGCTACATGCAGCACATCAGGCAACCCCCGCTTCCAAGCAGAGGCCCCCAAAGAAGATCCCTCTCCAGTAGCCCTAGCGGTAGGGCGTGCAGTAGCCACATCAGTGTCTGTGGGTAGACCAAAACCCTCGCTGCAAGTACAGAGGGAGAATGGACCAGGGACCTCATGGATGAGCACTGTGCTGGAAGACAAGGCCAGACTTGTCAGAAGACCAGAGACAGGCAGGCAGGCAAGTGGTCAAGCTCAAATCACTTAAACCCAACACAGCAACCAGGCCAGCTCAGGATACAGCAGAAGACTCTCTGCCCCAGGGAACCTCCATGAGACTCAGCATACCTTTGTGTTGCCCAGGCACACCCTGACGTCCCATCTTACTGAGACTGGCCAATGGTCATGAAGCTGCAGTCAGACCCATTCCTTGGTCCCCAACTGCTACCCCCAACCAGGAATCAGCACTAAGAACCTGGCAGCACCACCACAGCCATCTGGACACGGGGGTCTGTCTGGGATGGCATGGGCTGCTCCCGCAGAAGAAGAGGCTCCTGTGTCCACAGGACAGGCACCCAGACAGGCACAGTCACAGGCCATGAAAGGCTACCCTTCTCTTCCCAAGTTCACAGGTGGCCACCAAGACAGTTTCTAGGACTGCAGGCCAGACTTTACTCACAGTGAGCGTTGACATGTATGTGTCGAGCAGCTCAGAGACCACGTTCGGAGAAAGTAACGGCTCCAGGGAGTGCACATCCACTTCTGGGGCCAGCTCCATGTTCCCCATCATCTCCACACTATAGTAAGAACCGCAAGTGACAGATGAACAAGGGACACAGAAAACATTCTCAAGTGAGTGTGTGTCTGGTTCACATGGAAACACCGGCTCGCCCTAAAGACCTTCACGTGGCCAAGGTCCACAACTTGGGGGAAAAGCAGAGGGCCTTGTGGAGACTGTAGGCAAGGGGTTCAGGGACCTAGGGTCCCTCCATGATGTCATCTCACTGGTTGTGTTGGCCATGTACGTCACCTGACCCTGACCTCATCCCACTGTGCCAGCTGCAGTTGTATCAGGGTACGAAAAAGCCCTTGGAAGGTGAGGTCCCCTGCTCCTGCACTGTGTCTCAGATCTGAGGGCAGGACTAGCCAAGTGGGCTGCTGATGGGCACACTTCATTCTGTAAGAAGACAGCGAGTAAGAACTGCAACCTGAGAGCACGGGCACAGAAGCCCCAGAGTCAGGGTCACTAATGTCTGCAGGAGGGCGCAGTCCAGGCCATGGGACACCTGGCACTTCTGACAAAACAAACCAGCAAGAGAGAGAAGCTACAGCTGGCCATGCAGAATACATGGAGACAAACCAAGTCCCAGGGAGGCTTTCTACGGGGACACTTACTGCTTGTTCATGTGCGGGGGTCTTACAAGTCAAGGTCTGAGCACTCAGGAAATTCACAGGCCTGGTGCCATGTTCTCCAGGTGTTCAGAACAGTGCCGAAAAGTTACTAACACTAGTCCACTCTCTACACAAGCTCAGGATCTCTTGGGTGAGAACGTGCTTTGTGAGGTTCTGCAAGTACTGACACTTTTTCAGCTGGGGGGTTTTTGCACCAAGACCCCTGCTGCAGCGCCCGAGTGTGTTCAGCATGACTTCTCCAGGACAGTCCGATGGGACACATGTGGCCAGGTTGGAGAACACTCCCAAAGACAGGAGATGCTAGTGTGTTAGGGAGAAACAAAGTCAAGACACAAAACTAAGTAAGCCCCCTAAGTGCACCTTCCAGTGGCCAGAGGTAGGGAGGGCCTGACCCCAGTTGTGATGACTGCTGCTTACCTGCTGGCCATGCAAAGGGGCACATTACTCCCTCTGCACCTCAGTTTCCTCACCTACCATGGGAGGGGATCACAACACCCCCTGCCTCATGGGCTGCTGGAGCACACAGTGCATTGAGGCCAAGAGTATGCTGGGTAAAGGACAGAGAATGGGTGACTCTGACAAGTCACGGCTATGGTGGGGACCAGAGGAGGAAGGAGGTCCAGGACTACTCGGTGAAGCTGACAGACACTGATTCCCAGAGGTGGCTGATATTTTTCTCACACCTCTGTGCTGAAGGGCACAGACCACCACAATCAGCTACCAGGGAACCATGGCACACATGAGAATAAGCTTCTCTGATAAACAGGAAGGTTTCCTTAATTCTTCCCCAGCATTAACCACAAGGGCAAAAGTCAAGCCACATATCCCAGCACATTACTAAATGCTGCTTCTGTCCACGAAGCCATGCAGAGTCACAAAGCATTACCCTTGGCTCCCCAATCTCCAAGGACTCAGACCACCCCCACCACTGCTTGCAGATGCCACCTCACACCATTCTGCACACGACCTGGCTTGCGTTCCCTCATGTGCAAAACAAAGTCCCATGCTGAAAAGTAAAAGGAGTGCCCATTTTTCTAGAACTGTACATGCCTAAAGCCAGCTATCTGTTTATTTATTCAGAGACAGGTCTCCCTTGTTGCCCAGGCTGGTCTTGAAGTCCTGGGCTCAGGTGATCCTTCAGTGCTGGCATGACAGGCATGTACCACTGTGGCTAACTTATGACTGCCAATTTTTAGAAGATTAATTGCTACACTGCATGGGTGAGAAGAAACAAAAACCTGGTGGTCTCCTCACGTGCCCAGTGATTGCAGGTCATAGGGTCATATGCTCCCACCTGAAAAGCTAGGCAGCAGCAACCTGCCAGAGGGTGCCACAGTGAGGAAGCATGTCCAGACACAGTGGGCACAGAAAACCAAGTGCATGCTGGGGTGCTCACATGGAACCCAGACACACAAAGACAGGACATTCAGACCACAGCCAGCATGCTCCAGGCCAAGCCTCTTTGGGTAGGCCAGGGGGCCCTTTACAAGCCTTTAGACAGTGAGGACACCAAGCCTTACCCAGGAAACCACCCAGGAGACCTACAGGTGTCTCCACACATTCTCACACAGGTTTCTAGGCAAAAGAACGCATCAGGCTCTACCTGGTGTAGGTGTTCAAGACCCACGTCAGGAGGCTCACAATCTCGCTGGCCTCGAGGTCCTCTGACGCCAGCTCCTGCATCCTTGTGCTCAGGGCCTGGTGGTACATTCTCAGGAGGTTTTTAAAGATCTCATAGTGGGGAGGGAAGCACTGCACCATCAGGTTCTTGGCGACCAAAAGGTCATCCAGGACATACTTCCTTATGATCTCCAGGTGGCGCACGAGCCACATCTTGTCCGACTCCCTGGTGTCTGCCTGTGTGCCCTCGATTCTAGTTGTCACAGTCCTGTCCAAGATGGAGAACATCTTCTCTTTCCAATTTTTGGGCCTCCCAGGAGGAACAAAGCCAGTTTGCTTTTTTCGGTCAAGTATACGTCTGTCAATTTTTTCTTCCCTTTCGATGATCCTGACCACAGAGACCAGCAAGGTGGGGTCCCGGCGGACAGTAACCAGTGATCTCTGCAGCACCATCCACAGCTGCTTGGCCAGCTCATCAGAGAGACCCTGTGTGCTGCTGAAGTAGCCATGGATGAGGGTCATGTCTCGTGTGTTTCCACTGTCCATGCGGTACTGCTCGCACATGAGCCCGTCTCGGGAGCACTCCAGGTCCATCAGCTTTCGGTGGGCCTGTAGCAGCGCCCCCTGCTCAATCAGGTCCTGGGTCTCCCTCACGATCTCAGGCACTAGGGAAAAGGTACAAGTTGGTCCCTTAAAAACATACAAGGCTGTGTGCAGGATTCTGTGAGACAGCGGGGCAAAGAGCCTGAGGTCTCTGTCTCCCCACCTAGAATCTGACCTAACTATTCTGAACACCAGAATCTGCTAAAGGCCAGGAACTCCCAGAGGAGGCCTGGACGGTAAATTGGGTTATTTTTGGCCAATCTCAGCTCTTAGCACAGCAGTGCTGCCCACACTCCACCCACTGTGTGGCAGTTGGCTGGGCATGTGCCTAGAAGCAACTTGAGCCCCTCTCAAGAGCCAGGGTGGGCAAAGCACTATCTTCCAAATATGGGGACTGTGTGCTCTAAGTGCTGAAGGGACTCCTGATCACCAGGGAGTAGGCACAAAGGGTGGAACGGGCTACAGAACTCCTCCTGCTGAAGAATTTGGGGTGGGAAGGTGGGAACCCTCATCTTCCAGCAGTTCCAGGGGTGGAAAGGGCCAGTACTATCCCTTCATCTGCTTGTCCTTCTACTTTTGGAATCCAGACTTTCAAGAACACTAACACTTAAAAGCAAACTGCCTATAGAGGACATCTGAAGTCACTGTGCTGACAGGCAAAGGCTCAGGTGCCTCAGCAACCCAGGCAGAGAGCCTGCACCAAACCAAGCACAAGAACCAGCAGAACCGGTTGAAAGGGGCATTTAACTGAAGGATCACCACATACCTTAGATTTAATAAAAACTCAGAAGACACCACAAAAAGAGGAAAATAAAACCAACTCAAAAACAAGAACAAGGAAAGCTGCCCCTAAAGACTCAATGGCCAGTTCACTAGACTAAACAACTTGTTAAAGATTCTCAAGAACTAAAAGGACCAGGGTTGGGAGGGAGGAGGGAGGCGAGTGCTGAAGTGGGTGGTGGCTAAATTACATCGTTATACTATGTGCATGCACGAATCCCACCATTTATGTACATTATAATGCGTTGATAAAAACCCGAAGACCATAGAAAAACAGAAAGAAAATAAGTGATTGTTTTTCATCTTTCTATTTCATTTTCATACACCTAGCATAATAAAAATCCTTAGTGATTAAAAAAAAAAGATTCAACAACTAAGTGAGAAGTGGAGAAAGTAAAAGAGAAGTTTGAACAAAGCTAGAATATCAAAAAAGAGAAAATGTAAAAAGAAACAAAGAAGCCCTGGAACTAAAAGTACAATGTCTGAGCAGATGTGAGCAGGCAGGAGGCAGAACAGCAGTGTGAAGGGGCATGACAGGGTCTCAGGTGTGAAGACAGATAGGAGATGGCTATGGAGAAGTGCATAGAGCCCACGGGACTTGTGGCCCCTAGAGCAGAGCAGCATAAGCACTGTGGGGGCTCAAGAGGAGAGGGGCAGGCAAGATGGCAAGATCTGATAGCAGACAACGTCGCTTGTTTAATGAAAGGCAAGCAGGCAAACATCCAGGAAGCAGGGGAAACAGACAGACCCATACCAAGACAAAGAGGAGCCTGAAAGAAGTAGGAGAGATCATACAAGGACTCCTAAACAACATTAGCAGTAGATTTCTCAACAGAAACTTTGGAGGCCAGAAGAAAGTGGGTTGATGCATTCAAAATGCTTACAGACAAATGCTGCAGCTAAATCTCACACCCAGCAAAATTGTCAAATCAAAAGTGAGGGAGGCAGGGAGCAGTGATGCATGCCTGTAATCCCAGTGGCTTGGGAGCTGAGACCCTAAGTGACATGGCTACTCCCAGTCTTAAAATAAAATATGGAAGGGGCTGGGGATGTGGCTCAGTGATTAAGCACCCCTGGGTCCAATCACTGGTGCCAAAAAAAAAAAAAAAAAAGAGGACTGGGATGTAGCTCAGTGGCAGGCACTTGCCAGCACCACAATAAATTAATAAGTCAATAAATAAAAGAGTGAGGGAGAAATTAAGACCTTCCCAGATGAATAAAAGCTGAGGGACAGCTTTCAGTAATAATAAAGAGATGCAAGAAGTAAGATGTGATCAAATAAGAGAAAAAAGACCTTAATAAAGACATTAATAAAACCTAGTATTAACACTTCTTCAGTTTTTAACCCACTTTTTATTTTCTATATGACTTAGAACACTAATATGTTTAGAAATTAATTATTCTGAAAGCTAATAATACAGTAACTTTGGATCATGACTCCACATTTGGTTTTCTGTATAAGAAACAAACCAACAGTCATTAGTCTATGTTTTGTACACACAAAGTATAAAGAGCGATACAGAAACAAGAGTTTTGTATGTATTGAAGTTAAGCTGATAAATTCAAACTGCGGGGATATAACGTTAGGATGTTTAACACATCTCCATGGTAATCACACAGAACATACACAAAAGAAATGAGAAGGGAATTAAAAATGTTTCACCACAAAAAAATCAAAAACACAAAAGACTGTAATGCAGGAAACGAGAGACAAAGTTACCTTGCATATGGAAACCATGAGCAAAGTGATAGAAATCCTGCCATGTTAGCAATCCCTTTAGGTAAACACATCACACTCTATGATCAAAAGAAAAGAGATGGCAGCATGGATTTTTAAAAAATATGGTTCAACTTTGTATATCTACAAGACTCCTTTTAGAGCCAAAGACATGAATGGTCGGGCTGTGAAAGGTAAAAGAAGAGTCCATGCCAGTGAAGACCAGAGAGCTGGCCACATGATCTTCAGAGCAGACAAGACAAAAGCTGACAAAAGAAAGGAAGGCCGTCACATATCCACAGAAGGTTCCGCAGAGACTGTACAACTGCATAACAATTATGCACTTATGCAAATTCTGCATTTACTAACAAACCATCAAAATGTATGAAGCAAACACTAACAGAACCAAAGAGAGAAACAGGTCTTCTGTGGCAGCATCTGGAGACTTCAGTACCTCCTCTCAGTAATGGATGGAACAAGCAGACAAAAGTAGGAAACAGAGAAGGAACATGAGCACAACAGAGAGCACATGCTCTCTCCTCCAGCATACATGGACCCTCCCCAATCAGACCATATTCGTGTCTGACAGTAATTCTCAAGACTGTAAAGACAGATCCATGAAGTGGGCTGTGGAAAGGTGCCTTCGTGAGCCTTCTGGCGGTTACCATCCCACCACCTGACACTCACCTGAGAAGATATTCTTGAGGTTCTCCACAGCTGCAGCCAGCTGGCTGTGCTGCGCTACAGCATCCTTCACATCCTTGAGACTCTCGACTGTGTTGATGCTCTGCCTCCAGTCCTTGCTGACATCGGCCAGCGACTGCTGGATGTCTTTGACATCAGTCAGTGCATTGTGGAGCTGGCTCAGGCCTGTGCGCACCCCGTCCAACTGTGACTGGATCGCAGCCTGCAGGGAGACACCATGGAGTAAGCAAGGCCAGGGATGGCCACATGCTGCTTCCTGATGGACAGACCTTCTTCAGGAGTGTCATATTCAAGGAGCCAGAACAGCCACTGCCAGAGAAAGGATTAAAACTGACAGGGACCCAACTCACATGACCACTTTTTTCACTGCTCTCTAGGAACACAGCATTTACAAACAATTCACAGCATGCTTGCCAGCCCCTCGGCCTGTAATGCTGTGAGCCACTGGAGGCAGCCAGGCTCATGGCCGTTATCAAATGCATCTTTAAAAGGACACAGCCCATGTTCTCCCTGGGCATTTCCATTTCTTGACAGGACTTATCAAGGCAGAGAACATTCTCAAGATTTCTTCATTGTTGGAGAGGGGGCATCCAGCCAGACCAGATTCAGCTGGAGGACAGCGACCTTGTGACACTGACTGCACAGGTGAGATTCAGATCCACACTGTGAGGCAGCCCCAATGCCAGCCATAAGGTAAAGGGCATGGAAAACAGATGCAGGGGGACAGGAGGTGAGGAAAAGAGCAGGCTGCATCAGCCATGGTAGGAGCAGCTGTCATCTAGGAGTGTCAAGTTACATTTGGCCACAATGATCACTTGAGGGTTCCAAGTCACTATTGAGTATCACCAGTTAATCCCACAAGTTTCTAGAACAGATAAAAATTCAGGCTAAAAATGTAGCAAGTCCAAACTACTTTCTAAATTAGTACAAAACTGCTGTCTCAATTAGTGAGCAGAATATGTGGGTGCTTTGATGATGCAGCTACCACATCAAGCCTACTGCTCCCTGGGCAAGTGTACAGTTCTCAAGGGAGAACACTCAATGCCAGGTCAGTGTTAGGATGAACTTTCCTCAAAGTCACTCTCAAAAATCCCAAAAAACATTCTGCTGCATGTCAAATGCAGAAGGTCAGAGTCTTAACATTTTATAACTATACTAAATGTTTATTTTAATAAAACCTTGCCTTCACAGAGCAATTAACTTGAAAGCCCATCCAAATCAGAAAACAGCTTGAAAAGGGATGACTCCTTCCCTGTCTCTCACTTTTTCTTTTTTCTGTGGTGCTAGGGATGGAACCCAGAGCCTCATGCATGTCAGGTAAGTGCTCCACCACTGAGCTACATTCCCAGCATCCCCCCCCTATTTTTTAGACATCCTGCAATGCTGCCCAGGCCTCAAGCTCCTGGGTTCAAGTCATCCTCTGGCCTCAACTTCCTGCCTTCTGGGACCACAGTGCCACCACCACATCAAGCTCATGGTCACTTACCTGCCTACCTATTTTCCACAGAATGGCTGTGGGTCCACTATACTAAGCGTTAAAATGATTCAAACAAAACTCTCTTTACTGATACTCTTCAAGAGAGCTTTAAATAAACAAGCAGTTGTCACTTTCCAGGTAATGCTTAAAAAGCTAAATGGACTCTTTCAGGTAGGCACCAAGGTTTCTCTCGTGGTGCCAGCAACATTCCAGTTCTCTTTGAGAATCCACTGCTTTGGCAATACACTGTTGGAAGGAGCTGCTCAGTCCAGCTCTGCCTCCTCTTCCATCACAACCTAATTGGGTGAAATCACCATGATGTCAAATAAGGACCAGAAACTCAAGACACATGGCCCAGTCATGCCTGAGTGAAGTCTCCTACCTTCAGTCTGGCCTCCACAGAGGCCTTCTTCCGAGCCTCCCTCCTGCGATACTGCTCAACTTTGTCCAGCTGGTCTGGGCGCTGGAGCATCCCAGCCACCCTCTGGACCGCTGTTGCTACAGCTTCCCTGTCTGTCTCTTTCATGGTCAACGAGTAGGCATCCAAAGGAACCTGTGTGCAAGACGGGAGGGTGTGTGAGGAGAAGGAAGTGCTGGCCCAAAAGTACCCACCACAGCAATGACCACAATGGGGTCACAGGAAAGTGAGGGAACGTTCAATCCAGGAAACCTGAAAGCGGAATTCGAGTCACGAACTCCTTAACAAGAACACAGACCTTTGGAACTGAAGTGTGGGAAGATTTCACCTTAAGGGAGAAACGGGGGCACCTCACAGCGACAAGACAGGGACACACAGGGGATGTCTGCACAAGGACCCAAGCCCACTCACCCAGCCAGACGTCATCTCCCAGGCACCTCTCTCCCCGGCTCGGGGCCAACTTCTCATTTCTGGAGCCCTCACCCACACCCTGTCCACGCTGTAGGCGGCTGCGTCAGGCCCTTGTGAGGAAAGGGACTCAGGCTGACAGCTCGCGTCCCCCCAGCACAAGTCTCCTGCTCAGCGGCCGGGCAGACTGTCGCCACGCGCGGCTCCTAATGAGCACGTGGCCCCCGGGGCTCAACCGACTCCACGGACGGGCGTTCCCGCGGCTGCCGGCGGCAGGGCTCCCACTGTGGGCAGGCAGAGCCCTTCCCTGCCCGGGGAGGGGCGCCCACGGAAAGCCGCCCACCTTCCCAGCTGCCGGCCCCGGTGGCCGCGGACGCCTGAGACCGAGAAAGGCCGAGCGAGCGGCGGGATCCCTCGCTAGGGACCCGGGCCGCGCGACCAGCCCCGCCCCGCCTCACCTGAACTGCGCCGCCGCCGCCTCTGGGGCGACCGGAAGTGGACGGGGAGCAGGAACTTCCGCTTCCGGCGATAGGCCGGGGGCGGGGCCCGGACAACCGGGAGGGCGGGGGAGTTGAGCCGGCGGGGACCACGGGACCCTACCGGTGGGACCTGCGGGACCTCGGCGCGGGGTCTCGGGGCGCGGCCTCGGGGCGGGACCTGTGTGGGGCTTGGGGGCGGGACCTCAGGGCCGGACTGCGGAACCTCGGGGCGGGGCCTGGGGGACCTCGGGGCGGGGACCCCGCGCCACTTAGGACCTCGGGACGGGGCCTCGCTGGGACCCTGCGTCGATACGGGACCTCACGGCGGGACCACGGGACCCGGTCCCTGGCAAGGGGATTCAGCTGGGAAGGGCCTGGGAGCGGAGAAACCATCCCCGCGGGCAGGGTGGGATCGGACTTCCGGGAGAGGTTGCTGCGCACCGCTCAGGACTTTTCTTGGCGGGAACGCTGGGCTCTGAGGAGGACTAGTCCCCACATGGGCAGGGTTACGGCTGAAGGGACTGCTGGCCTGACCCGGCCCCTCCAGCATTCTGCCCTTCCCACTGCCCTCCAGCCTGCTGTCTGCAAGGGCTCCCACAGGCTTGCGCACTCCTCTGGTTTCCCTTCTCAGGATTCATCCTCCAGCTCCAGTGCCCACAGCTCCTCTCCTTAACCTCCTGCCTACCCCCTGCACCAGCTCTTTGTCCTGTTTTTTTCTTCATGTGTTCATGTCCCATTGTTGCCCCCACTTCAAGGTGGCAGAGCTGCCTCCTTTGCTGTAGCCCAGTGTATGGTACTGGGCAGACAACATGTGTGACAGGTGGCAGCTCATCACATTGGTCATGACTGCCACCCAGAGACAACTGGGCAGCTGTTTAGGGAACTGCCCTGTTACTCCTGAAATCAAAAATGAACTCAGCCCCTGGAGGAACACAACAGATCAGAAACCCAGTAGGGGCAACCGTGGGGCTGAGTCAGGGAAGCTTCAGGACGGTCGTTGGGTCTTGGAAGCAACACTGATCCTTGACAGGAGTGGCAGGGAAGCCTATGGGAAGGACATAGCTGGGGAAGCTGTGCAGAGTACAGGAGTCCAGGCAGGCAGGTCTGAGTTCCTACATGGAGGAAAGGTCCACCAGCCAGGGCTGCACCTTCCCTTAGCAGGAACAGTGTGTGCTAGCCACCAGGATTTCAGAATTGATTGGGCTGATGGGGACACTACTTGCCTTAACCCGCCAGCAGGAGGCAATCTTCTACTGTGTTACCAGCTGCTAGACGGCATGGCACTTCTTGAAGACCAGCCAAGGTAGTTCAAATGGAAGAGTCCAAAGATGGCAGGGAGAGGAGGTACCCCAAGTACCACCACAACTACAACCACAGCCTGTGCCAGCTGACCAGCAGGCAGCAGCACCATAGTGGCATGCCAGCTGACAGCTAACCTCACTTTATGATTTCACTTTCTTTATCTACTAACTTCAGAAAACACCAACTAGTTGAACAATGAATAAATGTAAATAAAATGCCTCTATTATATTTGAAAATATAATTGTAAATATGTTTTGAGATTAAGAGAAAATTTGCCAGAATGACCAAAGCCTTAGGACAGTTACTTCAAAACAGACATTTAGTGCATAACCATTCTCTCTTGGTCTGGTAGGATTTGGATTTACAGCTCTCACACCTTCCTCAGTTAACCAGGATGCTTAGAGATGGGTTGTCTTACTGCAAGTTTAAATCCTTCCTTGCTGCCAAAAAATATTAATTAAAACTCTTTCTCTGTGTCATGGGTTCCCACAGGTATGGGGTTGGAATAGACCCCAGTGGAGGACCGCACCATGCCTCTGGGCAGTGGGGTAAAGAGCCAGTACATGAAGCACTACTAGGAGCTGTTCTGGAAGTATGCGCAGTGCTACAGCATGCGGCCGGAGCAGGCATGTGCTCCCTGGCTCTGAACGCCTGGTGACAGTACTGCCCTAGGACAATGTGGCCTCTCAGCGATGTCAGCCCCATACCCTGGTGTGTGCTCACAGAGGCCTCAGTGCTGGAGGAGTCCCAGTGGCCTGCTGGGGAGCAGGGCACGGAGGCTTGGGAGGAGCAGGATGCAGCACAGCCAGCATTGCCAGTGCAAGATGTGGAAGAAAAACCTGAACAGCAAACCAGAACGAAAGGACAAGTTTTCTGTCCTCAATAGCAATCAAATGCCTTATTTGCCAGAGGAAACAGGAAAGAAGTTACAAGACCCCAGAGATCATCCAGTAAAAACCAAAAACAAAACAAAAAACAAGCACCCATTCACTCTTAAAATTCTGGGGGGAGAAAGACTGGAAGACAGAAGACTCCCAGCACCTGCAGAGGCAGCCTGTGCACTCTGTGGAGGTGGACAAGAGCAGGACAGCGAGGGCTCCTCCACCGAAATCCCTGGGTGACAGTACATGTGCTGCTATTCAGCAAGCACCCAGACCCATGCCTGTCCCGAAGAGCTCCCCAAGGGACAAGACTGTCTGTGAACTGGGGCCAAGACCTCGAACACGCACGCTTCTCAGAGAACAGCTAGAGGCTGTTGTGTTGATGAATCTTGTCACCTACCCCCACAGTAGGACAGAAGGTTGAAGCCATGGACACTGGGTTACTCGTGAAGACAAGCCCACAGGCCCCTGGTATTCTTGTAAGAGTTGTTTCAGAACATCTCTTCTTTGAGGTGCTGACACCAGATGCCTTTAAACAGCTAAGAGGCTTCCGCTCCTCTCTGGGTGGCACAGGTGGACTGTGTCACTCATTGTAGAGGCTCCACCTCCACATTGGTGAGGTCCCCATCCTGCATGAGACTCAGTTTACTGGTGCATGTAGTTTTCTTTGTGAGAGAGTACCAAGCAAGAAGCACTCCCCGTGACCTAGTGTCCATCTGTGGTGAAGCAGGCTGTGGTGGCTACTGCAGGCACAGAGGTGCTTGTGTTTCAGCTCACACCCTCTTCACGTGGGTCATGTGTTCAAGGATTGGGCTGGCCAGGCCCAGCTCCTCTGGATGGTCTCTGGGGTGCTCCCTCAGCAGTTTAATAGCCACACACATTCTAGTAGACATGGCGTGGCCACTGTGGCTAGGTGATGATGCAGTCGCTGTGAGCCAGCTCACCCCTCTTCAGAACACATAAGGTACAGCTGGCCACCGTTACAGGCTGCGGACTCTAGCCTCTTCCACGGCAGCTGGCAGGACATGTAGAACTCATGACCTGGAATCACATGGAATGGACTGAGATTGGCCCGTGGGGTGGGCACAGGGAAAGATACCGTTAGAGACGCCCACACACCTTCTCTGCTCTTCCTTCCATGGCACTTAGTGTTGACGATGTGTGGTGTCCCTGCTTCAGGTTGAAGAGGCCAGCCGATCTTAGCTGCACCTTACAGGAGCGTGGGGACCTGAGCATGCACAGCTGTATCTCAGCAGTGCCGGTCCTTTTGTGCATTTGCCTCTAGGGTGGGAAGCAGTCTTCACACTCATTTCTCAGATGGTGGGTGGGTCTGTCCACTGATGAGGCCTGTCCAGGAAGGATGAGGGCATGTGCTCTGGGGAAATACGAGGTGCTCAGTCTACAGCTTAGCCCCTGAGGGCGTGTGTTTGGTTTTTACTGGACGATCTTCGAGTGTTGGACCCGAGGCTCAGCATGCCTGGGTTTTTACTTAGGGTCTCTGAAGTCCACTGGCTCTTAGCACACACACTAGTCTCACTCCACATAAAGTGACCATCTTGTCACTGTCAAGCCGTGAGAGTGCCTCCTGAGCGCTGTGGTCCTGAGGTGAACCTCTGCATGGAGAGCACACCTCGGTGTGGAGGAGGTACTTACCAAGAGGAAGTTCTACACGGTGTCTGACACCCTGGCTAGGAATTCTGGTGAACTTTGGTTTAATCTGTCACACATCTTTAAATGCTGTGGGAACCTGCAGGTCACAGGACCCTGGCATGGCGACAGCGTGGCTCAGGTGGTTTCACCCACCTGGCTGAGCATCATGTTGCATCTGACCATCTTGGAAAGATGGCCGGGTGCGGCGCCTGGAGCCCCACTCCTCCAGCCTGTGGTCTGCGATACCTAGGAAACACTTGTGCTTTCCCTGACTCTAGGCAGAAGTGAGCCTGGAAGGCAGATTGGCCAGCCCCCCTTCTTTTTAAGCAGAAGACACGAACAACGTTAAGGGACTTCATGAACAACCAATGGCTGAGTGTGGGAGCTGTGTTCCCTCCTCTGTCCGAGCCCTCCATGATTGAGATCATCTTCTTCCCTCTTCTCAAGGGCAGCAGTTACCTTCAAGCCTATGAATTTTTAAGTCATGACAATCTGATGTTCCTACTTTCTTCTTTTTACCGGAACTGATGTGGTTGTAATTGTGTCTCTAATTCTTGGGACATGTTGCAAGATGGAGATAGTTTAAATCTGCCTTCAGGTTGGAAAAAGTCTAAAACTCGTTGAGAATCCAGTATTACCTAAAATAAATGCTACATAAAGGCATTTAAAAAAACCTTTCTTGGGTGTTTAGCAGATGAAATACAAGAGAAACCTCCCCACACCCAGGGATGTTAGGTGAACACAGCAAGTGTCCTTGTGCAGTAGGCTGAGTCATGGGCAAGCGCAGGAGGACGCGGCAGAAACAAGAATGGAGAAGGCGGGTGCTTGAGCAGAGGCTCTGCCCCCCGTGAGCATGTGAATGGCCTACAACCCAGGCTTGGGCTTCTGTACCCACACAGGGCGGAGCGGGGCAGGGCTCTGGCTCCCGCAGTGGAGCGTCCTCAGTGGAGCATCGTCAGTGCAGGACCAGGGCCCCCTCCTGGCCTGCCTGACTGCTGGACTAGGAGTGGGGAAGGCCCAGAGAGCACTGAGCTTGGACTCCCCTCCTCACCCTGGGCAGAGGAAAGCCAGGGAGGCTTCCTCAACCCCCCCGGGGGCTGCTCGGGAGCCAGAGGGAGAGTACTGAGGTGTCTGAGGTCTGGGCCTGGTTCTGGGAGGACAGAGATCTTGCTTCGTCCCATGTTGTCAGGGATAGCCATTAAGGAGACAGAATTGCAGCTTCCAAACAAGTGGAGGTGGGAGAGGGAGGAGAGTGCCAGGGATTCCAGAGAAGGCTAGGAAGGGGGACCAGGTCAAGGGAAATTGAACTGAAAGAGGGGGGAAATGCTCAAAATCATTAATAATCTGGACGTAGGTCATAGGTTAATGGGTCAAAGACAGTGAAACAGGTATGTACACATGAAGAACAAGGGCTCGGGGTGAAGGGGCTTTGGCATGCCAGCCAGTAAGGCCTGAGGAAGTTTTCGGGGTGACATTAGCATCAGACAGCGTGGGTTCTGTCAGAAGCCACAGCCAGAGACAGTAACAAAGACACAGAAAGCCATGAAGACAGCAAATTCTGTGTGAAAATGCTGAATGGCGGTATGCTATGAGGAAAATACCTTCAATGGAAAGACAGGGTAGAGCAGAGAGAAAACGTTGGGTGCTTGTGGCTGAGCAGAGATCGCTAGGTGGGAGGATGACACTGCAAGGGACCCAAGCGTGACAAGGGTGGGAGGACTCAGCCCCTGGTGGAGAGGCCAGGACCCTGCCTCTCTCAGCCTGCTGGAGGGAGGCCTGGGTCCCCCAGCCTTTGCCCCCGGCAGTGTGGCTCCCCTGGTCCGGGAAGACTGGCTCACAGGCTGGGCCTGCACCCCACACCCAGGCCTGCCTCTCCTGCCCTTAGCTCTAGCCTCCCCACGTGCAGCCACCCGTGAGAATGTGCCACCCCACCACTCTGTCTGTAGAGCACCTGTGCTCTGCCACCAGCACAGAGCTCAAGTGTTTCCTGTGGCCGCCATCAGCTGCCCACACTGCCAGCAGGGCACCAGCAGGACACCAGGCACTGGGCCCTGTGCTCCTCCTGCATGGATCCCGGGCACCTGGCACAGCCCCTCTAGTTTTTAGCAGGGTCTCCCAGTGACAACAGAACGAGTGAGAGGGACAAGTGCCTGTGAAGTGGCTGCCCACTCACCCCCCAGAAGCCACAGCGCCAGGGTGCTGCCATGGGAGGGGCCCCCATGGTGCCTGGTGAAGGGATGTCGCCCTGTCTCCCAGCCACAGTCTCCACCTGGAGCAGTGCCTGGGCCTGTGGAGCAACCCCTCAGGTCCACCTGCCATCGCTGGGAAGGTGGAAGTGCATCTGGGGTCCTGCAAATGGCCGAGCCATCCCAGCAGAGGGGCCTGGCTGGTCTCCCTGGGGGAGAGGTGGCGAGGCCTGTGGTGACCACCACTCTGCCCAGGGGTCCGGAAACTCTTCAATCAGGGGTGCTCTTGGACCAGAGGGAGTGAAAGCCTAGCTCCCAGGTCCCTGCCCCTCCCACACACCTGTCACCCGTGTCCTGTGACAGGGTCCCTTAGCTCTGCCGTTACAGGACAGCCCAAGTCTGGGGGTCTGAGGCCCCAGAGGGTCCCCCACCCTCAGGGACGCAGGGGAGGGCCTGGTGAGGGTGCGGTGTTTCCTGTGCCCTTAACTCCAGCGTTTCCACCTGGGGAGGGTGCCAGTGTAAACTCAACCCCTGCGTGGCAGGAAACAGTGGCTCTGTCTGGAAATCTAGGCTCCACTGACACTGGACGCGCACATGCACCTGCAACTTTTTACACAGATTTTGCAAAAGTGTGACAGAGGCAGTGTGCGAGACATGGCTGAGCGCTCTCGAGACCCTGGGCAGCACAAAGTGCACCGCAGGGCGTGGTGAACATTAAGGAGTGGCCAGGCGCTCTAGGTTCTGAGGACGTTTCATCTGCGGCTCAGTGTCACACACCCTCACCGGTTCTCAGGAGGCACGTGGTGACTGAGCTATAAAACTTCTGACCGGAGGGCAGGGGGAGGTGCTGCCCAGGCACAGCGTGGGCCCCACGTATCCAAGGTCCACAGCACACGTGGGTGTCCCCACATATCAAGCCTGCAGAGTGGAGGAGTGGATGCTGAGCTCTGTCCACAGAGCATGGCCTTCCAGGTGGCCCTCGCCTGACTTCTGTTGGTCCTCTCAGAGGGAATACGGGTCGAATGGCCCTCTGCGCAGGGCTGTCCAGGCCTCGGGCATCCACAGCTCTTGGTAGGTACGAGGTGCAGGGGAGAAGGGGTGTCTGGCTACTGTTGGCAGACGTGAGACATCCCTTGCTCCATCTTCTTGATCTCATTGTTTCAGGTTTCCCTGGCTCTAGGACACAGGAGGTGTTGATTGTCTGCAGCGCTCTCTGCCCTCTGTCAGCCCTTGCAGAAGAGCTGGTTCCTCTCTGGGAGGCAAGCAGCCCTCAGGTGAAGGGCGGGGAGATGAGGGGGACCTGGCTGGGCCAAGCCCTCTGGGCATGCAAGGGTGGCATGGCCATTGACGGGAGCATTCTGTCACCTTGATGGGAAAGGGATCTCCACAGTCAGGAGCTGGGCATTAGGTTAGAGAAGAAAGTGAAAATTCTGGATCTACTTCTACTCTTAAGACTAAATCCATAAATTCCCAGAGAGCAGGGGTGAGCTGTGTTGGGCAGAACTGGGTAACACTGGGACACTGGGCCAGTGGACTGAGCAGGGAAGCAGAAGCTGCGCTCCCCGTCCTGATTTCTGTGCCAGGTGGCAGGAGTGGAGGCCAGGAGTCCTCCGGTTGCCATGACAGAGCAGCACCCATGTCACCTTTTAAAAGGCCGCTGAGGGCTGGGCAGAGAGGGAGAGGCTGTAAGTGGCCACTCTCAACCCTGGCTTGGGTGGGTGAGTGGGACACTCTCAGCCCCATTCCTGCCCCAGGCGAATTCTCCTTACACACCAGGAAGACCAGGGGCTGGGCAGGAGACCCATCTTGCAGAACAAACCCGAGTTTTGACAAAGAAGATGTGCATCCCAACAGCCTCTGCTCTAAGCTGGAGCTGAATACTGACCCCAGGCCACCAATGAGGACACCTAGGAGGTGGAGCCTGGGTGCAGGCCCAGCAGACTTTAGCACTCCCGAGATGCGGGGCAGGCCATTCAGAGGACCCATGGTCCCTGAGGAAGAGGGGGCCACACAGGCAAAACTTGGGCTATGGAGACCTTCCCTTTCCGAATTCCTAGAGTGGACACCATACGAGTCCTCAAGCATGCTGACTGCAGCAGCTAGGAACACTGGACACCCTGGAGGGCACAACTTCCTCAGCCTGCCTGTGCCTCCCAGTCTGGCTGCATGGGTACTTCCAGACACCCAGGCCTGAGGAGTCGACGGTCCTCAGGGCCCCACGGAGAACACTGGGAGGTTCCTGGAAGGGACCCATCCACCTCCATGCCAGGCGTGGCCTGGAGCCCTGGCTTGGAGTTGCAGAGGACCTGGTGCCCACAACCTCCAGATCCTGCCCATGGCTGGGCTCAGCCTCCCCCAGTGAGGCCTGCTGCACATGGAGTCTGTGTGCCTCAGATGTCCACACAGACAGGAGGTGCAGGGGTGGGAGCTCAGGAGGCCATGAGACATCACTGGAAGCTTCTGATGGTGGCCTTGGGGGCAAGGGATGTTGGGCATTCCCTTACACATTTTGACTTCTCAAAGAGAAACACCATCCTGCTTGAAGAGACTCAAGCTTGCATGTATGATTTCCTGGGATACTTCACAAACTCCAGAATGCCCTGCAGCACAGGCACCACCCTGGGCTGGAGGTGCATGGGGCAGCACTGTCAAGAGCATCACTTGAACTGGCTCCAGTCACACCCACCACCTGGGGGAGGCAGCCAGGGTGGACTGAGTGTGGACAGACTGGCCTGCTGGAGAGCCAGTTAGGGCAGGAAGGCTGAGGTGCTTTTGGGAAACAACCTGGGCACGGCTCCCTGGCTGGGAGCAGCCCATGGGGGCGAGTCCAGGGGCTCGCGCTTGACCACAGCAGCAGCCCTGGGAGCTCTGCAGTCACAGCCCCGAGCCAGGTGCTGGTGCTCGGGGCAGCTGGGTGTGCAGAGGTGGAGGGGAGGCTCTGGCTCCAGGCAGGCGCAGTGTGAAGGGAAGAAGGGAACAAGTTCCCGGCTGGCTTCAGTGGTGGCCTGGCTGTGGGGGTGAGCCCCTACCACACCATGCACGAGATGCGGGGTGTGGACCTGGAGCCTGCAGTCCAACTCTGTCTTCAGGTGCATCCTGGTAGGAAAAGTGACCAGCTGTCTCTTGGCCATGTTGCTGGCTCCCAGCCACACCTGGCTGGGGGTGCAGATGTCCACTGCGTCCTCAGACCCAGAGTCATTTTCCATCTTGATTGGCACTTCAAGCAACAGTGCTGGACTGCGGGGGGCCTCTGGGGACACCAGCAGGCCAGGCAACTTGGCATCCTCAGTAGAGTAGCCCCCAGCTGGGAAGCACTGTGCTCCGGGCACAGGGAGCCTCTTCTCCAGACCGCTCTGCAGGGTGTGGCAGGGAGGATGCCCCTGTTCCTGCTGGAGGTCCCGCAGGGGTCTGCTTGGCCTGCTGCAGTAGGCACTGTGGGGAGAGCCTGGCAGGGGCGAGAGGGGTGAACTTCTGAAGGTGTTTGCGCCACTGGTACCGAGCGTGCCCTGGGCTTCTGGGTAAGGCATGCAGGAGACGTGGGACACGCCGCACATGGATGGCCGCTCGATCCTGGTGGGCTGTGGCTTCGGCTTGTCTCGCTTGTCTGCCGTCCAGCTGGGGTGCCTCATGGGTGTTGGCGTCTCCCAGCTGCAGTTGTGTGCCTGTGTCTCCCGCCGGCCTCTCCCTGCAGCACAGCCTCTCAGCGCTCTCTCCTGCTCTGCGTCTCCCCCGTTGCTGCAGAGCAAGACGGTGTGGGGCTGTGTGACAGCTGGTGGGCCGGGGCAGCTGCAGGCCAGGCCTCAGGCCATGTGGTCCCTGACAGCCACCCAGCAGCCCGCAGGCCTGCCCCCTCCTGTCCTTCACCTCAGCTCCCGCAGCCCCAAGTCCAGGAAGGCTCAAGGGGGGCAGGCTGCTGCCAGGCCCGGCCTGCTTCCCACCCTGTGCCGCAGGAGGCACTTCTCTGGGACATGTGCCAGTCCAGCAGCACCCGCCGGTCAGGTCTGCCATGGTGGGAAGGCTGTCAGACTGAAAAGCCACCTCTGTGGCCAGGCCAGGTGTGACAGGGACCACAGCTGCGTCACAGGAGACTGGCTGAGGGTGACACATGGTGGTCAGTCTGGGAAGGCAGACCCACTGGTCAGGGCAGAGTGGCAGGTAGGGGCAGCTGGGTGGTGTGGACGGGATGGGGAATGCAGAGGGTTCCCAAGCAAAGCCCACTCCTCCCTACTGTCCCTGCATGTGGACACTGTCCAGGCTGAGAGCTGTGTGGACAGCACCAATGGCCAGGCCTAGTGGGTCCTCTCCCAGCCGTCAAGGCCACCGTTGGCTCCTCTCCACACCTCTCTCTTTGGCCTCCATGGTGACAGGGGCGGGGTGGGGTGGCCTGCACCACTTACCCTGCAGCCCCGGTGGGGTCCAGGATGAGTTCAGGGCCACCCCTGAGGCACAGGCACAGGGCCCTGCTGGGAGCCCGCGTCCAGTGGCCAGTGTCCATCTGTGACCTGAGCAGGGGAGCGCAGGTTTCACCAGTGCTGCTTCCTGCGGGGGTCAGAGGGAAAGCCTGTCACTGGGCTCCTGGAGGGCCCTGGTCTAGGTGCAATGTGGCCCCCAGGTCCTGAGCCGGAGGACGGGAGCAACAGGGCAACTGTCCCTGCGTGCCACCCACCACCCTCAGAAGTGGCATTCCCACAGATCCCCAGGGTGAGGGAGCCAGCGCTCCAGGGCACTCGCCGTGTCTCGCCCAGGCGGGAAGGGCGTCAGAGGACTTCCAGAAGTACCTGCAGTGAAGCTGGGCTTTGCCCGTGGGTCTGGTCCACACAGAGCTGTGGTGGCCTGGGCCCTGTGGAGACAAGAGCCGAGCGGCATGAGTGTGCAGATGGGGCAGGCACACGGTGGCACTGTCACCCGAGGGGGGGGCCAGAGCTCCCACTCGCTGACTCCCACAAACTGCCAGGTCCTTCATCAGGGACAGATTCCAGACAATCTGAGACACGTCATTTTTTGAGCCAGGACAAGGAATTTGCTCTGGAGGTAGATATGCCCACACAATGCGTTTGATTTAGGGCTCGGACGTCTTCTTGGAAGGCCACAGGGAGAACAGTGGACTCCAGGGACAAAGTTCTCTAAGAGTCAGTATGAGCAGATTGAGACCACCGGCCGCGGCTCTGGGGGAGGTGTGTGGTGACAGCCACAATCTCCTCCTAATAGTCTGTTTTCTTTTTAGAGGAGGAGGTGAGAGCCTGGAGCTTCTAGTGAGAAGATACCGGAGGGCTTCCGGCCCAGACCTGGCTGAGTCTCCCTTCCTCTGGGGAGCTGAGGCCAGAGGGGCAGGGTTTCTGAGGGGAGCGTGCACTTCCTGGGAACCACATTTTCATCACTGTGAGTCTATGGTCACAAAGTGCAGCAAGTGTCCACTCTGTATCAGAAATGAATATTAGTGAGGAAGAGAATCGCACAGTGGCTCCAAGTGTGGAGAGGGCCAACAGCCTGTCACCAAACCTGTCAGGAAAGGCTACGGGAGACAACATGTGTCATCTGGCTGCAGGCCTGTCTGCCCCAGAGTAGCCTTCGAGGGGGAGACTGGTGGGTTTGTGTTCTCCGGTGGCCGTCCCTCACCCTCCTGGGTTTTAACAGGGCCGTGAGTGTGGGGTCCCCCGAGGTGCCTCCCCTTGCCTGATCATCTACCACAGGGCTGCTGCTGACACAGGGACCCCACACCTGCGCCCTCTGTTTGGGCTCCAGGGGGCAGGGGTGCTGCTCTCCAGGTCAGATCCAGAGGAGCCTATGCTGAGTCCTGGGCTATTTCAGGGCTGAAAACAGGAGAGAGAAAGCTCATTCTGAGACCCGGCGTCAGACCGAGCTCAACTCAGAGAGCAGGAGAACGTGGTGCATGCAGCTGGGGCTCCTCAGAGTGGGCCCCAGGAACCAGGCTGCCCCCCCCCCCCCGTCCGCCTGTGCAGAGCCGGGTTCTGGCCTGGCCTCATCATAGTCTTCGTACCTTCCCCACCGTGGGGTGGCCCTCCCTAGGGGCTTCCATCTCTCATCCTTAGCAGTAAGGATGGGCACAGGCCTGTCAGACAGGCAGAACAAAAGGGGACCTGGTGTGCCCAGGCTGGAGCATGTCCTGGAAGCCACCCTCCATCCGCCCTGCACACAACAGAATGAGGAGGAGGAACATGGGACCCAGGTGTGGGGGGAAACACTGATGCCACCAGATCTCCTCACTAAGAGCCTCGAGGGACTGGAGGTGAGTGAGGCCCTGCAGAAGGACAGACCTTGGGCCCTGGCCTCCAGCCTTGGCATCTGGACAGGGCCCGCGATGAGGCACCCACAACTTTGTGGGGTTCAGTGGGCCAACCCTGGCCAAGCTGAGTCCCATTTCCGTGGACGAGGACTGAGGACAGTCGTCTGAGTTGCTGGGCAGGCAGGTGCTGGTGTTGTGGCGTCCCAGGCCTGAGCCCTCGTAGGCTCTTGGGCCCATCTAGATGAATCTCAGGAGAGCTGAGGAACACAGGTAGGCCCACGGCCAGATGAGGAAGAACAGCTCCGCCAGCAGGTCTGAGGAGCAGTGCCACCCAGTCTGCATCGCGGGGTCCCTGTGAACAGCCCAGCACACTGCTCCTGTCCAAGGGGAAGCCGGAGGACTTGCAGCTAGAGGGTGAAGGGCACGACGATGGGGCAGGATTTCCGGCAATGCCAGGGAGGAGTGGGCAGTTTCTCCAGAACCGCAGGCTTGTTGTGTGTGAGCAGAGCCCACAGCCTGGAGGCTGTGGGGGGCCCTAGCTGATGGCTCCTGGGAGCTGCAGCAGGCTCACACCCACCCCATCAGTGTGCCAAGTCAGAGGCCTGCTAAAGTCTCCTTCCTGCTGGCCCTTGCTGCCCTTCGAAGTGGAGAACCCCAGACAGAAACCACAAGTGACTTCTGAGAGCAGCTGCAGGCTGAAGGGACAGGCCGAGGGCCAGGGCTGAGCACAGCAGAGGCTGACTCGTGACAGAGACCAGGTCTCCGGCCTTCACCTGAGGACCTGCAGAGGGGCCAGCCCAGTTCTGTGAGGCCCGTCCAACAAGAGGGCAAGGAGGAGAGCTCTGAGGAGGCCCAGGAGGGCTGTCCACAGGCCCGACTGCCCGGAGGAGGGGCAAGGCCTCTAGGAGGAGATGCCAGGGCCCTTGTTCCCTGAGCACCCTGCAGCTGGACAGCTCCTGCGGGGGGGAGGCCAGGTGGTTTGGCTAGAACTGGGGTGCCTATCGGAGACCGTGCTGGAGAGCCCCCCGCCTCTGGCACCATTTTCTCCAAGCCACACTGGCTGTGGTGATGCTCTGTGGCCCTGGCTCTGGGTGTGCTCTGGGAGTATTCTGCAGCTCACTGAGGCTGGAGGAGGGGCTGGGGACTGGGGACCTTCCAACACAGAGCCCCCACGTGGGATTCCAAGGAGTCATCTCCCACGCTCGGGGGAAAGGTGAATGGGAAAACCCATTCTTGTGCACAGCATTTTAAGTTGCTCCCAGGAAACACAGGTGGGCCCATTCTAAGACACAGCAGACAGTATGCCCAGAAAACCTAGCCCTGGGTGTTTTCCACTTCTGGGAAGCCCAGAAAGCCTGGCAGGACCAGGCTCGATGGACCAGGGCCCTGCACCAGCACAGCCACTGACCCTGGACGGCCACTGACGCGAGGCGTGCGAGGAAGAAGGCCCAGAGGCAGCAGGCCAAGGCACCGTCCTCACGTTGAGTGGTTCTGTGGCAGGCCAGCGTGGGTCAATCAGGATGGGCAGGGTTGGAAGCTAGTGTCTGCAGGTGAGGGTTTGAAACAGTTTTTCCTAATGGTTGTCACCTACATGGTGACATACTCCTTGACAGAAATGAACAAAGAAGATACCAGGCACGATACATGTGCAGGTGCTTTGTGCTGCAATGACTCCTGCTCACCTGGGGTCCACTGTGGCCATGGTGTCCACCCTGTGCTTGGCCCTCAGAAATGCACCCTTCATTTTCACCTCTGCCAAGGCTGGCAGGAGGACTGGTGCCACGGTGCAGAACAGGGAGAGCCGCGGGGGCAGGATGCTTCCTGATGGTGCCTTCTTCTTCTGTCCCAGCAAGAATTTTAGTTTCCCTTGAAACTGCATCATCTGGCATGTGAAAGCAGGAGGAAAGGGGCGTTCACAGCCTCAGAAGGAACCCGGCTCAGCGTGCGAGGACAGCTGAAGCATGGCTCTGGAGCCTTGGGCCCCGCCCACATGCAGGTCTGCCTCCTGCAGACCAGCCCCACCCAGGCCTTCAGGGTGACCTTGGTGGCTCTGTGACTGGTGTAGCCTTGCCGGGACGAGGGTGTTCTTGTGTGAGCGCTCATGGCTGTGTGCATGCACACACATGGCACCAGTGCATTTGCTTAGGCTGCCATCGATGAGAGCCTAAGCCACCAGCTGCCTGCCCAGTAGCAATTGTGGTGGTTCTCTGAGGGCTATTTCAGCTTAAATGTTCCATTTCTAAATTATCAGGACCATACCAGAGTCCAGAGTCCAGTAGAGGAGAAGAGATCCCCAGAGCCCACAGTCCAGATGGGGAGAGGGGAACCCCTAGAGCTCAAAGTCAGGGAGAAGAGACCCCCAGAGCCAAATGTCCAGGTGAGGAATGGGGAGATAGGATTCCCCAGAGCCAGCAGTCCAGGGAGACAGGACACCCCAGAGCCCAGGGAGGTGGGACCCCCAGCCCTCGGTCCTATTAGGGTGTGACATGCAGTGGTCACAGGAGTCCATGGTCATGGGTCCTGGCACAGGCATGGAAGTTGAGCCCCAAGGTCCTGTGCAGCCAGGGCTCGGGTGAGAGACCTGCAGGTGCTGATTGGTGGCTGCCTGGGAGGAGGGCAGGGCCTATGGCTCTCAGCACAGCATGAGCCAAGGGAGTTGGCAGGTGCAGGGACCCAGGTGCAGGCTCTACAGAGGCCAGCGCTGGGGGGCCTGCAGGGTGGGCGTGGGCTGGAGGACCCTTGCTCAGCTACTCCCAGGAGAAGGACGCCTCCCTTTCAGTGAGGAGCTGGAAGAGGACACGATGGGTCAAGAAGTGGAAACCCCAAGAGCAAGTCTGTGAAGGAAGAGGCGGCAACCAGAGGCTTGGGCAGGACTACGGGGGTCCCAGCAGACTCTGCTGAAGGCTAGGCTGTGTCAGGAACCGCTTTAGGTAAGGCACCATTCCCCTCAAACACAAAGTGACCTCCATTTCCAAGGGCTTTGCCTGTGACCTGCAGTGTGTCCCACTTGCCCCCCTCACCAGTCCTTCACACCTGGTGGTGTCAAGGGGACACGTGGAGCCTCTGGAGACCCAACCAGGGCTCATCCTCTCTGTCCAAGGATGCTGGGTCCCCTCGACACCAGGGCAGGATGGACGCAGGTGTCAGGGAGCCAGAGCGGGCTGCAGGTCAGGTCCCGCTCAGGTCCCACCCACTCACCAGAAAGCCAGAGGTGCTATCCAGCAGGCAGCGCACGCGGCAGACGAAGCACCGGGTCAGGAAGGCTGAGTACTCGGTGGGAGAGCCAGAGCCTCCTTCCTGGGCCCTGAGCAGCCTCCGCAGCACACTGTCATCTCCTGCAGGACAGCCCGGGGAGTGGTGGTGAGGCTGGGAGACGTTGGCCAAGAGAGAGCCACATGTGCCCAAGATGGGCTTTCACACTGTGTGGGAGCCATTCAGCCCTCCACGTGGCCCTGACTCCCTGCAGTCCTGGAGAGACCGCGGCAACGGGGGTCTACCTTCACGGTCCCCTGCCTTTACCATATCTGTAAAACCTCACTACTCTAGAGGCCTGAGGTTGGTCTTTTCATCCAACTCTGCAAGCTGAATCATGCTGCTGCATGAGGCTGAGCTGGAGACCTTTCCTGGAATTATCAGTGTGTGTGTGTGTGAAAGATGCAGTGAAAGGGATCCCAGGGAGATGCCACCCACCCCAGGACCCCTGCCCTGTCCCCTCCAAGTCCACCATCACCTGTTCCCAATAGGTAAGGAGCACCAGCCCTAAAGAGCCAACATTTCCGGAGGCTTTTTCAGATCTTGTAAACTGGGCCAAGAAACTTCCTGGCAGACAGGAGCCTGAGGGATTTTGTGAGGCAAGAGACTACGCAACTCCAAGAGGCGGTAAGGACTGGGTCTCCAGCCCGCAGGGTGCCTGCAGTCTGTGTCCCAAGGGTCCCAGGAACACATGCTCAGACCCCAGCTCGTGGTAGCACTGCAAGGTGACGTAGCTCTAAGAGCCGGGGCCTTGGTGTCAGTCGCTGGGTCGTGTCCTTGAAGGGCAGTGGGACACCAGCCTCCCTCTCCCTCTTCACATCACGGCCAGGAGGTTAGCAGTTTTGCTCCTCCAGCAGCCCCCACCACGATGTGCTGCCCCCCTAGGTCTGAAAGCAGTGATCCCACAACCATGATGAAGCACCAAATCTGAGCTAAAGAAACCTTCCTTCTTTGTAAATTGGTCACCTCCAGTTCTTGTCATAGGGGTGGAGGGCCAACCACAAAGGGTGTCCTAGGCCTGGCTACAGAGCACAGCAGAGCAGCCAGGGCACAAACACCCTCGGGAGCCACTCACGGTGCCATGTGACAAGCCCACTGTAGGATTGCTGGGTGGGGAGGTCTCTGGGGAAGGCAGGATCCAGTGTGGAGTCCCACATGGTGGCAGAGGAAAAAGAGGTGTCAGCTGTGTGCACAGTGCTCCGAGCTGCCTACCCACCTGTGTCTGGGCGCGGGGGCTGGCCGAGCCCCTGGGGGGGGTCCATGGCCCAGTGCAGCTGCCGGCAGAAGTCCTGGCGGTCCTCTACATGGATGTAGTCATAAATGTTTTGGTGCATCACATCCGTCTGAAACATGGAAAAAGTTATGTCGGCCTTAAGCTGAACTGGCACTTATTCCAAGGACTCTTATTCCAGTTGTTAAACTGAAAAACCCCTACGTCCATCTGTAAAAGCAAGCCACATTTATGAAGAGAAGGTCCCCTGGAAGGAGCTCCCTGTTATGAATGTAACTAATAAACTCACGCAGAGTGGATGAGCTCTGCCGTCTCTTCCAGGGGTCCAGCAACTCTGTGGTAAGACCTGTGGCCCTGACCTGGAGGGGTGGGTGGCAAGGGTGCCTGGCTGTGACTGTGGCCATGACTGAGAGGTAGATTCAATCGCCCACAGGCTACAGGGTTTCGCAGAGAAGGGGCAGAGAGAAGCCCAGATGTGCCGCTGTCCTTGATCAGTGTTGTCCAAGTCAGGGCTCTGGGGAGGGTAGCCTGGGGCCATGGGCAGAGACTCCTCATGGTGGAAGTGGCCCCCGGAGGCCTCCCTGAAGAGCTGGTGGCTCTGTGCTTCTTCAGGAGCTCTGTGAATGAGCAGTGTGCTCATTCTGGTGGGCCATATGGTACAGGCAGCTCTGGGCCGGCAGAGAACTCCCGTGTGACCACCAGCTGAGGGTCCAGGGCCAAGTGAGGGACCAGGGCCAGTTAAGTGAAGAGGGCCAGCTGAGGGGACAGGTCCAGGTGAGGGGCCAGGGACAGGTGAGTGGACAGGGTCAGGTGAGGGGCCAGACCCAGGTGAGGAGACAGGTCCAGGTGAGGGGACAGGGCCATGTGAGAGTCCAGGGCCAGGTGAGGGTCCAAGGCCAAGTATGGGGCCAGGACCAGGGCCAGGTGAGGGGATAGAGCCTGGCGAGTGGACAGGGCCAGGTGAGTGGATAGGGCCAGGTGAGGGGACATTGCCAGGTGAGGGGACAGGGTCTGGCCTTTCAAGGCCCCTCTATCCCAGTCGTGGTCTGGGCCCCACCTCAGGTGCTCTGCCATCTTCCAAGGCTCAGCAGTGGGGAGCTACGTCCTCGTGGTCGGTCCTGCCCACAGCACCACCGAGGCTGGCTCAGGCGTGGTGGCAGGTTCTCACTTTCAGGCTGTGTGACCACACTCCAGCTGGGCTGTTCTCCTGCAGTAAATGCTTGGCTGCTTCACACTGGCCAGCGCAAAGGATGCCACAGGTCCATGGGGACAGCCACAGGTGGCCATGGTGTCCCAGGGAGAGGAGGTTCCATGGTAGAGGTGAGCAGGTTCCAGAACACACTCCCTCAGTGACACCTGGAGCTCAGTCTGTCGCAGTACAGCCACCAAGGTGGACAGGCCTCCTGTTTGCGGCAACTCGTGTGTCATCCAGACTGAGTGTCTTTGCATGTACTTACTGGTCTTCAGATGTATGCGTGCCGTGTGCTGCATGTGGAGGCATGGACACATGCAGGTGTGTGCTGCCAGACTGTCCTTCTCGTGGTCACCATCCAATCTGCCTCTTCCTCCTGGGCCTGGGCTGCATGCCCCTGGCTGACTCAACTCTGCAGGGAATGCACAGTCCGACTCCTGCCTTTTGGTCTTGCTTAAGAGATCTTTCCTCACAGATCTCCTAACTCTGCCCTGCTGTGTGCCTTCCGGGAATGTGTGCCTCCATGGTCTGCATGTGGTGTGAAGGAGGAGATGAGATCCCTCTTCCTTCCATCGGGTCTGGCTGGCACTGCATCTCTCCTGAACAGAGAGCCCTTTCCTCCTGCCAACAGCAGCACTAAGCGTTCACCACCAGCCCAGGCCCTCTGCCTCAGAATACTGCTGCTTGTGGGTCTGTGTGACCTAGTGCAATCCACGTGGCCTATAGCCTGTGAAGCTGTGTCCCCAGGAGTACAAGTCCGCAACAGTCATCCTCTCCTTCTCCCTTCTCCTCCTTCTTCTGGATAGTTTGGATATTCTTAACCTCTGCATTTCCATGGAAATTTTAGAATTAGTGTGTCAATGCCTACCAAAAAGTTGTCAAGTTTTTGTTATAATTTCATCAATTCTGTAACTTGGTTTGCACAAAAATGACATCTTAATAGCTATGTCATGTCTCCAACCCATAAATATGGTATAGCTCTTGTGGTACCTGATTGGCCTAATGCTTTATACCTTCTGAATGGAGGAACTACTGTGTATTGTTGATGGGTTGTTCCTTGGAAGGTGGCGTTTCAAATCCTGTTGTCATGGTGTTTTCCCTCTAGTTCGTATTGGAGGAAGTGGGGTGCTGACCCCCAGCAGCAGGCAGGCGTGATGCAGGCAGGTGAAAAGTGGGCCCATGACTCACACTAGACTCTCCCACGGTGTGTGGGTGACTCTGAGCTTCACAGAACCACTGGAGAGTGCTTATCCCCAACACTCTCAGGCCACCCCAGTCTCTCTCATAAGAAAAGGGGTGTGTGGGGTCTGCAGTTAACCACTTGGGGACAGACAGACCCGGGAGAGGCCCAGCACAGCCAGCTAAGGCAAGCCTGCAGACAGGGAACAGACAGAGCTCTGTTTTCACAACTAGCTGGGCACATCTGACTGCCCATGTCCCACTGACCTCCCGAGCAGGTCCACAAGGCAGTGTCCAGGGAATAAATTCAAGGAGTGAGAAAAGGACACCACTGCTCAGCAGTACAGCATGGGTGCTGCCGTCCAGGGCAGCCAGCCTCCAGCTCTAAGCTAGCGCAGTGAAACCAGCTCCTAGCTCGGACACATGACTCCTTCCTGCAGTCTGTCCTTTCCACCTCTCTGTATAAGCATGACCCTGGCTGCAGAGTCGTAGCTGCAGGGGTCACCGAGCTGGTATTATCTGTGATGGCTCACTTGGGGACAGCTGCCACAGTGACCAGGAGGGGTTGGCAGCTTCCTGAGTGTCAGGAATCTAAACCCCCCCCTGCTCATCACAGGCTGGGCACGAGACACAAGGGACAGAGCATTCGGGCTGCCACAGAAGGAACGGGTCCTGGCTTCTGGCAAAGTGCTCTGCATGAGATGTTTTCAAGAGCACAAGCTGGTGTGGCATCTCATGACAATTTTGCAAAGCCTGGTTTCATGGCATTTGGGAACAATTTCTTTAAAATAAAGGAAAGCTGTTTTCCACCTCTAACACTGGGGCGGGGGGCACGGATAATGAAGCTCCAAGGAAACAATAATCCCAAGATCAGGTTCCAACTGGGAATCAATGCCACCCTCCTGCACCTCCCTTTGTCTCCAGAGCCAGATCCTATGTGAGACACTCCTGGGAGTCGGCTCCTGGTGTGCTGTGGAGCCCAAGGACTGCTGGGGGAAGGCACTGGGAAAGGTCCCTCTAAGCATGAAGAAGGCAGGCAGGGGCCCAGCGCCAACTCAGACCCTGCACATGCACCCAAAGGGCCCATATCCAGGGCTATGTCCCCACCTGTCCATGTCCTCAAGCTCTGTGCTGTGAAGAGCACTGGGACCCCACAGTGAGGGAGGCATCAAGTCACAGCTGACCGCCTGACAGACACTTCTCTACTTCCCACTGTGAGAGTGACATCTGAGGACCTGAGCCTGAGTGGCAGACACCCTCAGACTGCTCAGGGGTTGGTGTCACCTGAGGGATGAGGGACTCTGCTGCCACCTTAGTCCCTGGAGATCTGGTGCATCACCAGAAGATGGAAAACTCCCAGCAGCAGACCCTGGGGACAGTACAGGGCAGGTCCAAGGCACCCCAGGCCAGCAAGAGCAGACAGAAAGGCTGGCCCCTCCCCCTGAGGTGCGAGGGCCTTTGCCAGGGCCCAGGGCCCCTCATGGCTCCTAGGAGCAGGCAGAGGTGGACACTGCCCAGTCCATGAACAGGAAACGAGGCTCGGAGCAGACAGGTGACTGTTGAGCTGCAGAGCCGGCCTCCCCTGTGCTGTGTCCCCCAAGCTGCCGTGAAGCCCGCAGGTCCAGCACATAGTCCCCCCGTCGGGTCCTACACAGGGCTGTAGGACTGCCCCAGGTCTAGTGATGGGTGTGTCCAGAGGGGCGACCAACACGCGTGGTTGTGTCCTGGGAGAGAGGTGCCCCAGGGTGTAAGTGAGTGTGCCTGTCCTCCACACAGCTTCCCCGGGGCTTAGAACAGGAAAGGAATACAACGGGACAAGGCCTGGTGGTCACCAGATCCCTGTGGTTTGCAGGGAGCCTGGCCTTGGACTCAGGCGGCAGGAAGTTGAATTCAGAGGTGGGGGCAAGGAACTGCTATAGCTGTTTCGGTTCTGGGAAACCATTTGAAATTAGGTTTTTCTTGGAAATTAGGTAAAAGACATGCTGGCCTCAGGAGCCCCAGGCAGACTTGAGTTTTAACGTGTTGGGGACCCCCACGCTCGGATCCTGGCTCTGTGCAGGCCTGGTTTTCTGCCTGACAGAGGTGCTGGTCTTGATCACTCCACACACTGTCGCCACCCCTCACGTCCCTCCATGCTGGCAGAGGCAGGAGCCAGCCGTCCTTCCCCACAGGCTCAGCTGGGCAGCCCAGCCACCAGGGGCCTCCTCCAGGGCAGCCCCCCTGCAAACAGGCCTGCTTCTGGCCAGCCCTTGGCCCTTAGTGCCCTCCGCCAACCTGGGCCAGGGCCTCTCAGCTGGGTGGGGTATCTGTGAGCTCCCTCTGCGGCCCGGGGGCTGTCTTCACATGGCTGCTGCTCCTGGGGGGTCACTGCGGTCTCCTGCTCAGAGCTGCCTCCTCAGCCCTTGACTCCTTCCGACTGCTGATTCCCCAGCTGCAGGGGTGTCTGTGTCCCAGGTTCTTCCCCTCCGTCCATGGCTTTTCCTGCTCCAGAACTGTGTCCCTTCTCTCCAGAGGGGACGTCTCTGTGGGGTGGCCTGCTCAACGCACTAAAGGGCCCCAGATATGCTTCTGAGTACCCAGCAAGTCCATGGGGGAAACGTGGATTCTCTGCTTGACCTTTTGAGTTCCCATCGGACTTTTATTTCCCTCCAGAGTCCAAACAAACAAAAAAAAAAGCTCCCTGTCATTTCTGGGCCTCAGAGGGGGCCTTCTGTGTGGTACCCTTTCCTGGGATGTCACCCTCCAAACTAGTGTTCCAGGCCCCTCAGCCCAGCCCAGCTCTCTGTCCAGGTCTGGAAACCCAACCCAGGCTGATGAGGAGATCCAGGAGGAGCCACGGCAGTAGACAATGGCTGCTGAGCATCTGGAGCCTCCTGCAGACCGAGGGGGAGAAACACCCCCTAGGCAAAGCGTGTGGGACCCACCTGCCAAGGCTCGGCCTGTGAAGGCTGGTCTCTGCTGTTTCCTAAGCTGTGCAGGGCAAAGGTGACAGCCCAGCACCTAGCAGGCACCGCGGCTGGCTTCACGTACCTGGTGGAAGCCCAGATAGTCCACAATGGTGGGCGAGGCGTAGAAGATCATCCCATCGGCACTCACAACCAGGGCAAAGCCATTGAGAGACTGGAAAAGACAAGAGAGCCCAGTCGGCCACCTCAGAGGGAGAAAGACTCCTGCGTGAGTCTCCACCCTCCCTCTGCTTCACCTTCAAACCCAAGCCTCCAGAAGCACCCTATGACCTTAGTGCGTCCTGCCAGGTCCCCAGCAGAGGCCAAGAGTCACTTCTCCTTTCTCTGCTGGGAGCCAACGTGCTCTTGGCGATACAAACCACAGACCCAGGCAGAACAGGGCATGCCGCTGCCCTCTGCCAGGCCTCCCCGCTGCTGCCCACTCTTAAGGAAGTTCCTGGCGTCTCTGAGCTTTCAACAGACACGGAGCTCCATCAAGTGTTTCCTGTATCTGCTGAAACCACCTGGGCTCTTCCTTGTCTTCCTGACAGGCAGCCTGCATTGCTGGTGACCCCTGCGTGGACGCGCCCTTGCGTTCTCCTGCAGGAGCGTTCTGTGCAGTAACACTGGTCAGCACTTTCCCCTCAGTGTGGTGTCAAGCAAGGGGGTCATGAGAGGCCCCACCCTTGCTCTCTCCCAGGCCACTCATGCAGGACAGGGCCCGTGTTCCTGGAGGGACTGGGTCTCCTCACCTTCATCTGGCTTGGCCCCGGGGGAGACGCTGGTGACGCAGTGCACTTCCACACCACATTGATGTGTGCGATGTCAGCGTGTGCAGGTGTTTATCCTCCTCATAGCCACCGTTTCCCCAGAACGCCACCATCAAGCATGACTTTAAAATTCACCCATGCTTATTATGTACAGCACTCCTTATGACTGTTAGGTATGCTCACAATCGTGGGTTTTTCTTTTTTTAAAAGATCTTTTTTAATAGACACAATTTCTTTCTTTCTTTCTTTCTTTCTTTCTTTCTCTCTTTCTCTCTTTCTCTCTTTCTTTCTTTCTCTCTTTCTATAACCCTGGCCCCCAACGGGGGGGGGGGCGGTTTAAGGCACATCACTGTGCTGTGCTGGACTTCACAGCCTGCCTTTACTCACAAAGCAAGTCCTACACTCTGTCCTGTGGTGGCTTCCCAGAGCCACAGCCAGTGAGGATGCACAAGATACCAGAGCCCCTAACAATGACCAGTGAGTGTTCTAGAGACCATCTATCTGTCACATACCTACCTACCCACCTGTGTGCCTATCCATCACCCATCCATGGTGACTGCCACCCATCCTCCCATCCATCATGCCAGCCCGTCTCTGTCGTCCATGTATCATCATCAATCATCCATCCATCACTTCTACCTGTGTCCTATCACGTGTCCATCCATCGTCTCTACTGTCATCCATCCATCACTTCTACCTGTGTCCTATCACGTGTCCATCCATCGTCTCTACTGTCATCCATCCATCACTTCTACCTGTGTCCTATCACGTGTCCATCCATCGTCTCTACTGTCATCCATCCATCACATCTACCTGTGTCCTATCACGTGTCCATCCATCGTCTCTACTGTCATCCATCCATCACTTCTACCTGTGTCCTATCACGTGTCCATCCATCGTCTCTACTGTCATCCATCCATCACATCTACCTGTGTCCTATCACGTGTCCATCCATCATCTCTACTGTCATCCATCCATCACTTCTACCTGTGTCCTATCACGTGTCCATCCATCGTCTCTACTGTCATCCATCCATCACTTCTACCTGTGTCCTATCACGTGTCCATCCATCGTCTCTACTGTCATCCATCCATCACTTCTACCTGTGTCCTATCACGTGTCCATCCATCGTCTCTACTGTCATCCATCCATCACTTCTACCTGTGTCCTATCACGTGTCCATCCATCGTCTCTACTGTCATCCATCCATCACATCTACCTGTGTCCTATCACGTGTCCATCCATCGTCTCTACTGTCATCCATCCATCACTTCTACCTGTGTCCTATCACGTGTCCATCCATCGTCTCTACTGTCATCCATCCATCACATCTACCTAATGTATATCACGTGTCCATCCATCATCTCTACTGTCATCCATCCATCACTTCTACCTAATGTATATCACGTGTCCATCCATCATCTCTACTGTCATCCATCCATCACTTCTACCTAATGTATATCACGTGTCCATCCATCATCTCTATTATCGCCTATCATCTGTCCATCACATTTACCTATTATCTATCCATCCATCGTCTCTATTATCATCTACTATCTATTCATCCTTTGCTGAGAGCCACGGCTGAGTCTGTATGGCCCCTGGCATTTTGCCAACAGTATTGATTGACAGGCGAGGCATTACTATCCGCCTCTGCCGCTACTTTTGAGTTCTCGCACTATTTTAGAGTTCTCGTGGGGATTTCCCGAGAGTTCCCATTGATTGGGGAAGTGCAGGAGGAGGGATTTCCGGGAGAGATATTTCCGGCTGGGGGTTCCTGGACGAGCCACGTGGTGTTCGGGAGGATTCCCCGGGAGCTGTGTGAAGTGTTTTCCTGCAGTTCAAAAATAAAGTTTGTTCCTGCTTCAGTGGCTCCTGATTTGTGCCCAGCCAGACTGCGGCAATCCTTCATCTCTATTATCATATGTTATCTATTTATCTGTCATCTCTCTTATCATCTATCAATTACCTATCATTTATCTCTACTTATTACCTATCATCCATTCATTGGATGAATCTCTATCACCTACTTATCTATCCCACCTATTTATCTTTCATGATAACATCTTTCATCTATTATGATAATCATTTATTGACCATGTGTCTATCCATCTATCGATCACCTCTATCATCCATCAGTATAATCATATTTATGTATCATCTATCTGTCTATCCATCATCTCTGTCATGTATTACCTAACATGTATCATCATGTATCTACCTCTCCATCTGTCCATCATCCTCACAACATCTTTCTTTCTCTCTCATCTGTCCATCAGCATGCCCAGGGAGCCCTAGTGAGCACGACCATGCTAAGTGGAAGACCTTTCAGTCTCACGTTGCCCTTGTGAGTTTGGACTGGTCATGAGTCCACTTGGGCAGTGCAACAGCTGGTGCGAGGGCTTTGGCCCCCTGGACAGCACTGTTCATAGATGGCTCAGTTGTTCCTGTGAGACCCAGACAGTCAGAGCCTGCAGCATCTGAGAAGTCTCTGGCAACTGGCAGAACATTGACTCATTTCCCTTAATTATTTTTTCCATATTTTTCCATAGTTCAAACCCCTTAGTTCCTGAACACATTAGATGCTTTTCCCCATTTTATTTTGAACTTTGCCAATCTGCTAAGTGAAGACTTAATTTCCCACCACAGTTTCCTTTCTTGGATTACTGAAGAGATGATCCAAATTCACGGGGACATGCTTCTCTTGCATGGCGACTTGCCTGTGTGGGTCATGTGCTGATTTTTCTGCTGGGATTTTACATATCCATTTCCAAGAGTTTGTGAAATGTTGGTATTGAAGACCCATAGGTGGCAGATAAGGGCTGCACCTACACCCAAGTCCCCACTCACCATGGAAGATGAGGGAGGACAAGATGCAGGGAGCCAGCCTTGGTCAGCAGCAGAGCAGAGCACGGCAGACATCCAACCCACAGGCAGAGGTCGGATCAAGGACCAAGGAGTCAGGCCCAGGTGCCCCAGGGGAGAACGCAGGGCCCTCAAGATCCGTCAGGAGAAGAACAGCTGCTCCACCCGCGGAGGAGGAATGAGCAGAACTAGGAGCGAAAAGCCAGCGGAAAGGCTCGAGCCGGCAGAGATCACCAGCAAGGGAGGGTGTTAGGGTCTGTAAACAAGTCAAGATGGCGCCTGGCATTTTGCCAGAGGGAGTGGTTTGTGAAGTAACGCCAGCGAGCCATTAAGTGTGGAGATTCCTGATTGGTTGACTGCTGTATCTAGTTTATGTTAATTAGATAAGCTGTGTGGAATGTATATAGACCCCTCCTGTCCTACAATAAACGGCTCCCACTCCTGCTGTATCAATGTACACAAGTTGCTCGTCATCCCCCGGTTATTTTGCTGCAGCCGGACTGCGGCAGGAGGGTTTGTTCTTTACTATGTTTATTAATAAACTCTCAAGAAGAATCCTCAAGAAAAATACAGACCACACCAGGAATTCACAGCTCCTTCAAAAAGTAAAAGGGTAATAAGGAACTTCCTCTTCCTCTTGCTCATTCATGCATTCATTAGCAGTACTGCACTGGAACCCAGAAAAGGCCCACTGCTGAGCCACACCCCGGCTCTGCCTGGTGTCTATTGAAAACACTGAATTTGTAATCAATAGCTTCCCACAGAGAGAACGGTAGGCCCAAATCAGAGAGCACAACCACCTGGGAGCAGGCCTAAAAGACAGCATGTGAGGCCTGCATGGGAAGCTGTGGACGCTGCTGAGAGGCCTCAGAGGCCAAGGGACACCCGTGTCCCCAGCGGAGAGACGCACCTCTGCAGACGCAGTGCGACCCGACCAGAGCACAGTGCACTGGCTCCTGTGGGAATAACAAGCTGATTCTAAAGCGGGTGGACCCCCAAGGGACCCAGGAGCTCTTCTTGAGGAAAAGCAGAACTTAGAGGACAGGCACCAGGGCCAGCCATAGTCCCCAGGAAACACTGCCCTGGGGTGAGGGCAAGACCGACCTTCAGTCATGGCATGAGGCTCCATCCAACAGGGAGAGAGCAGCAGATGGTCACGGCTGGGACGATGGTCCATTGTGCAGGAAAAATGAGCCCAAGTCCTGTCTCTCTGCACGCACCAACATTGATTCAAGATACACAGTAGAGCATGGAGCTCCCAGAGGGCACACAGGGAGCACCGCCGTGAGCTTGAGGCAGGTGGATCTGGACAGTAGAGGAGGCCCTGACTGGGGAAGACCTCCTAGAGCACACTGATGAAGGTCTCTATCCAGCATACACAAGGAGCCTCTACAAATCAACCATAAGAGACGCACAACCCAATTTTGGAAAAATGGACAAAACACTTAAACAGATACTTTTCCAAAGGAAAAGAAATGACACATGCTCTGTACCGTCAGTCACTGGGGAGTGCAGACTTAAACTCCATGAGGACACCATT